CAGTTGGTCGCATTTCACGAATCTTTGACCCATTCTGTGAGTAACAGCTGTGTTTACATCTTATATATAAAGTTGGGCATACTTTGGTTCAATGTTAGAGTGTATTAACGGTCCAATCCGATTTATAGACTAACACTACCAGAAAGATGTTGATTCAAGTGAGACTTAGAACTCGCCATTTCAAATGCAGATTTGTATGATATTATTAGCTTTTTGTTTCTTTTGACCCTTAATACTTTTTTATAGTCGCTGTAGCCCTGTTGATAAGATTTTCCATAAGCTCAAAATGTTGATAAGGAGCTCATTTTACCTTCCCCTTGTGACAACAAAGGAGAATATATTTGTGTCCTTTTTAGTCTGTTCTGACTGGAAATTCATAGATTTGCAGTAGTGAAAAATCCAATTTAACAATCCCAATTGGTTGGTATATTTTTAGGGACTTCCAGAGCACATTTAACACCATTAATGCTCTTTACCTTTTTAGTTCGATGGTTCTCTACGTGTTTTTTTTTTCGTTCTGTATGTCTCTTACGCCCGGTTAATGATTACCTTTTCTTAATCTTTTTGTACTTTTCACACCTTGGGGTTAATGATAAAGTATTAGCCTATAACGCTATAATGACCCGAGTCAACATTGCCATTAAACATCAAGTCACATACTTCTTCGCCAGAACCGTAATCGTAAGTCACAGTTTCACAACAAGCAACTTCCCTGTGTACTCGAATGAAAAATAGGGTATAGTTCACTGATATATTGTAGTTCCACGTATCCCAGCGTACTCGCTATCTCGAGAAGGTAAAATTTGGTACTGCTGAACGTCAAACATTGATCTTGAGTAAGATTAATCACTAAGATCTGGTGGCTATGGAAGAATAAATTATATTGATCAAAACAATAAGTTTCCGTCCCCTACTATGGGTTATTTCACATTCCATACTCAAATTTAAACTCAATTACCTCTTTCCTTCAGATCACTTTGCAGGAAAACTAAAACATTTCAAAAATACAAAATTTACACCAAAACATACAAATAATGTACAAAAATACACTTTCCTTGATCAAAATTGTGTGTTAATAAATAGAAACTCCAAGATTAATAATTACATACTGAAAGTGAGGTTATAAAAATAATAACAAATGTCTGACAAAAATTAAACAGCTGACGAATAATTTATAAACTGTGTATTATATTCTTCAATAAGAATTGTATTGACTCAACCTTTGAAGGGCTGTATGTCTTAACCCTTAGAAAGAACGTTAATTCTAATGAAGTTCGGCAAATCTATGCATTAATCCCTTTAATTTGACACATAGATCTTGTGGATCGGTTCAGTAATTACTGAGAAAACAGTGTTACAACTGTGTATTAAATATATAGATTCATGTTTTAAGTAAGTAAGCGGACAGCCGATTTTGCGGCCCCGGGATGTAAAAACCTGCTCGGTCCCCAAATTACGACGACAACTGGCATGGCCAGCAAAACGTAACTTTCAGCCACCAATTTACATATGTAATACAGCCAAAAACATCATAGTGTGGTGAAAAAGTATTTGTAGAATTTGCAAAAATTTCAGGTTTGCCACTGTACATTCTTGCTTTGTGTATGTTCTGTAAGACTTATTTGTCTTTTTAATATTGCTCGAGTTGTATTTTTAGGCAAAAACACCTGATCAGTGGAATGCTAACCCAGAAGTAAATCCAACCCCTAAATGCCTTGGAGGATTTGGTAGGTGATATAGCAATATCTACTAAAAATTGATTAACTGTTACCAATGTATATTTTACATAGATTGAAATAAAAATTTCTAGTAATTACATTTTAGTGTAATTTTTTACACGAATCCTTTTTTTTACAATTGAAATTTTAAAATGGTACTTCTTATGTATGATTTTATTATTATACAGGCTGTAATCACCAAAGGTTGATTTATTGGCCAAGAAGAGCCCACTTACAAGTGTCTGTTGCAACCTAGGAGTCGCCTGAGTCTACCTCAGTGTTGTTACAGTAGTGTGATCTGATCAATGGCCAAGTTGTGGCAGAGCTTGGAGGGAGAGGATGGCTCAGAAAGAATTTCACAGGATTAGTGTACTCTTAGTGAGTTGTGCCTTAAATTAGACATTTTACCTATCCTTACTTGTATCCATGTATCCACCAATAGTATATTTCATTACTAGGATCAAAATCAGCATTTTCTTACACACTCAAGTTCCATGTGTAAGGCTTTGCCTCACACAGGAATACCAAAATCAGAGTTATTTTAAGTATGGAGCGAAGGCGAGGATGTAATTATTTTCAGTAATTGGGAAACATATTTTCAATTTGAGAAACCTAAAACTTTTAAAACAAATTAAAAAACCTCAACATCTTAATGCGTGGGAACCTTATTTTATAGAAAATACCGCCACTGCAGCAACCCTGCCGACTAAGCGAATTTCCATTTGCCTGGATTGATTTTCAATTCATCTATTAAATCAACATTTATGTTTAACAAGTACCTAGGTTTGCTGCTACAGGGAAACTAATAAAGTGTGTTTTTTACTAAAATATTAATAGCTTAGTTTAGAATAAATAAATCTGCCTAGTTTGATCAAAATATATCCATAAACAAGCCAACTACACCATTTTACAATATTCTCCATAAGAATAACATGGGAATTTTAAATTAAAATTTTTAAATTTTCTCCGTAACCAATAACCGTACAAAAACACTGATATACTAATTTATTTCTTTTTTTAAACTCTTTAAAAAGGCCTTGAGAAAAATTTAAAAATTTTGTTTTAAGGGTTAAAAATTAGAAAACCCCATTTTTATCCCATAAAACCCCGTTCCCATGGTCCAATCATAATGGTTCGCGAACTCATTCAAGTTTATCCCGCCTTACACCTTCAAACAAAATTTTATCAAAATCAGTCATAAATTACTCAAGTTATCGTCTTTATGGACACGTAAACGAATAGTGTTTTTGGCCTCTGGGGACATCAAAATGAAAAAGTAAATCGGTCCGGGGCCTAGGTCTTACCATGAGACCTACGGTAATAGCTACTTCTCTATAGGGGAATTCGCTAAAAACACACCAAAATGATTTAATAATGAAGACAGTCTAATTATTAACTTGGAATTACTGAAAAATATTACATCATGAACAATACATCCAAAATTAGATTATTTGTCCAATATCCTTTACATTATCCGTTTTAAATTTATTTAAAATTAATTTATTACTAATTAAATATTTACTTTTTGTACTAGTGTAAACACAGCCTGATGATGGAAACCTAGTTTCCGAAAGCGCTTGTAAATAAAACAAATTTGTATATTAGCCTTGTTGAAAATTAAAAAAATTAGTTGCCAATTGCCAATAACTCTAATATAATGGTTATCATGTTGGCCTCGATGAACGTATCAATAACCAATGAGTCTTTTTGCATTATCTCATTCTGATGATAACAGATATTGGTGGCAAAACATCATTCAGCCACACACCTGATTCTGCTGACCACTCGTACTCCTGTCTCATAATAAACTAGTTGAACTAAATTCTTCCTCTTATGTTGAAATATAATATAAAAAATCTCTTTTGTTGACCATAACCACTGAATTTGAACAATAACCAGATAGAAGCTGTACTGAACTTGGTTTTAGTACCCTCCTTTAAACGTACAACTATGTTGATATATGCACACAACCGAGGTGTATTTCAACCCAAATATGGCTGGAAGTTCATCAGGATGATTTGTGTGGTATTTTTACTTCCGTTTCATTTGCTAAAACTATTAATTACTAAAAGTGCAATAATAAAAGACAGTTGGGTTTAGCTTTGAACCATCAAAGTGCTTCTTTCCTCAGAATCAAAGGCAGAACACTATAACCACTTGACAGCCAGCAGATAAGGGTGGATACTCCATTGCTGGTCTTAAAACATTCTTGCGATCTGCTTCCATTTTCCCAAGAAAGTAACAATAGGCTAGGACTAGTTTTTTAATCTTAGCTCACATCTAATGCCCGTGATTTGTCCTCCATTAGTCGCAAGAAGTCCCCTAATCAAAATACTATGCATAATCTGACAGGTTATCTTCACTTTTCTTTTGCCGTAGAAGGTTGGGCAAATTAAAACAAAATCACTACCAAATGTCTGTCTTTAATATATTAATCTATATTATGATGTTTTGACATACAAATAAATAAAAGGAAAATACTGGATAAATCGTGAGACTAACCTAAAAACAGCTAGTAATATAGGGAACAATTAGGCTTTAGTGATTTTAATGGTACAATTACGCTTTAGTGATTTTAATGGTACGTAAAAACAATAACTGATTGAGGTTTTTCATCAATAAAATTTGATAGTGTAGCAAACACAGAGCCAGGAGAAATCGGAGGAGCACCACCATAAATGTTTTGTTGTGGCACACTAACAACCAACCGTCTTTGAAAACCTAGCTTTTATCACAATTTGGTTGTGTAGGTTGAAAGGGTATTCAGTTGCCTTCTTGTTTCTTGAAATCCTCCTGAAAAATGAATTAGTTACATTATTTACAAAGTTTTGAAAACATATTAGAATTGAAATAGGACAGTTCGACACAATCACTCCACAATTATATGCATAGACTAAACATGTTTAACATACTTAACGGTTTTTAAATCTCCATAGCCATGTTAAAAGAACATCCATAATATGAGCCCCTTAAAGCACAAGTGGTGTAACTCCAATTTTCATGTTTTTTTAGTTAGCCATGGAACTGTGTAGGGAAAAACTGGTTCTGTTTAATGCACTAACGGTGTAACTCCTAGTTCCTATAGCAACCGCATAGATAGCAGCACTTACTTATGCAGTCAGTGCTGCCATCTAGTAGGTCACAGCACAACCGGTGTAGTTGGGAGATACACCACTTGTGCAGTAACTTTTGTGAAGGAAGGATTTACTCTCAAGTGTTTTTTTACTAACAGTAATAAAATATAATTAATTCAACCAAATTATAGTATTATTTCTGTTAATAATGGACTCAAGTGAAGATGAAAGTAGTGGAACACCAAGTATTTTAGCTGACGATGCATCTGAAGATGAATATTTGCCATCATTCTCAGAAGTATCCAGTGAAGAAGGTAAGAGTTTGTTTATTTATTTTTTTTATCAAAATTTACTGTAATTATATGATGTTATTATATCACCTTGTTCACAAAAAACATGTTGTTCAGGTTTTATTTCATAAAACCCCGTTGTTATTTACAATAGAATAAGACTACGCATCTAACCTAGAAATGGAGTTACACCATTTTTGCCGTAAACATTTTGGCCTAATTCGGCAGACCACCTAGATCGTCATAAAAAATGTTTATAGCATATTTGACATAGTAAGCATCTTATTGCTATAACAAAAACTGCACATCTACATTTCCCTTCAGTAGTTTAATACATTATATTTTGGTTGCAGACGTAGATGATCCCAATTCGTTGATGACCGCCATAGATGACGGCAATGAAGCAGCTGTGGAAGGGAGACCCAATACATCTGATAGTGATGAAGCAGAGGCAACTGCAGAAAGAAGACCAAAAAGAACCAGGAAAAGACAAAGAAAGGAATGGAAACGAGAAGAAAGGAAGAGGAAACGAAATTGTGGGAAATCTTACGTCACCAGGAAGGGTAAAATCATTGCAGAGAAACGATTTAGCAATCTCGATTGTAAATGCAGAAAACATTGCTTTGATAAAATAACAGAGCAGGATCGAAAGAAAATATTTGAGTCATTTTGGAAAATAGGGACACGCTCTGCTCAAAACGCATTCATTTGTGGTCTGGTAAAACAAGTAGTGCCAGAACGTCATCGACCTACCACCGGTAATAAGAATAGAAGAAGTTCTTCAAATAAGTTTTATTTGACTGTTGATGGAACAAGCAAACAGGTTTGTAAGAAGTATTTTTTAGAAACCCTTAAAATATCTGATGGGAGAATGACGAGAGCCTTACTGAAGTTGAAAATTGGCGAGCCTCCAGGAGATAATAAACGGGGTAAGAAGGTGCCTGCAAACAAAACCCCAAATGATAAAATTGCACAAGTAAGAGACCACATCGCATCTTTTCCCGCTTATGAATCTCATTATACGAGAAATCACAACCCAAACAGAAAATATTTATCTGAAAACTTGAATATACGACTTATGTACAATCTATACAAGGAACATGTTGAAAGCCAAGGGCGTCAGCCTGTTGAGGAGCATATCTATCGGAGAACCTTTAATAACGAGTTCAATCTGCAATTTCACGCCCCACATAAGGACACTTGCGTCAAGTGTGATGTTTTTTCTAATAAACTAAAATACTCAACAGATGAAGAAGAAAAAAGACAACTTAAGCAAAACCACGAACTTCATTTACGAAAGGCAGAAAAAGCTCGCGATTCCATGACAGCGGATGCTGAAAAATCAGCTAACAATGACAGCTACTATGCATTCTCGTTTGATTTGGAAAAGTCTCTCCCTTTCCCTAAATTAGTGTGTCAACAGGCCTACTACAAACGTAATATGTACGTATACAATTTAGGCTGCCACGAACTTTCGACCAAAATGGGATTCATGTATTGTTGGGACGAAGTTAATGGTTCAAAAGGTTCACAAGAAATTGCATCCTGTTTGATTAAACACATACAAACTAGAGCCCCAGCAGCCAAACATGTGGTTATGTACAGCGATACATGTACAGGGCAAAACCGGAATTGGAAAGTTGCCATGACGTTGATGAAACATGTCCAAAGTTCAGACAACGTAGAAATTATTGACCAAAAATTCATGCAAAGTGGACATTCATTCCTCCCTTATGACTGTGACTTTGCATCGATTGAAAACTTCAGTAGGGGAAGGTCGGCTAAAATGGGGACTCTAGTGGTTTCCACATTATATTTCGCTTACAAATATTGCTAAACTATTGAAATTTAGACAGAACAAGACTACACTAATGTGTTGACAGAAACTGATAGCTTTTGATCAATTATTCCCTAGATATAATAATAAAATTATATATTTTTTAAATGCATACATTGTCCCCGTTTAAGACGACCTTTCTGGTAAAATGGGGACGCCATAAGAGCACATGCAAAATTGAGTTTTTTTTAATGAAAAAGCATTTTTATTGAATACAAAACACATCAAACTCATCATATTACCTCTTAAAGTGACTAAACATGTTAGAAAGATTGTTATAGAAAATAAAAACTAAGAATTTCTCAACTTAATAGATATTTTAACATATTTATGGAGTTGAAGTTTTTTAAATTAAACTTTACCATATTTATATCCTTAAGCATATCAGTTAGACATTTATAAAACGTATAAACTAGTAAAACACTGGTTCATGCCAAAAGTGTTTAATGTGTATACGTTATTATCCTACGATCTGTCCAAAATGGGGACATTCTTATAAAACGGGGACGTCCCCATTTTGTCCTACCATGTACGTCCCCGTTTGACCCGCCACTGTATTAATAAAACAAACATGGCGTACCTAGCCTCCACTTTGAGATTTTTGGATAGAAGAAACGACAAATTGTAGCCTAATAACTGAAGATAGTGATCAAACACTTACTTTTTTTTACTCTCTATGTTGGGTACGTAAAAACACAGTTGAGACACGAACAAAAATCCAAAGAATAAATCGTCAAATATTTAAAAGTCTGCAACATGAAACTTATAGTCAGTATATCAACGGTAACTAGCTAAAAGTAGAGTGAAATGGTTATTTCGCAATAGTTCGTCAAAGATCAGCTGATAGCAGCACTAGTTTAGCAGTACCGGAATGTCCCCATATTGCCTAGCGTCCCCATTTTTAACCGACTTCCCCACTACCAACAAAGGAGGAGGTTCTCAATTTGTTTGTGGCGATGTTTTTTTTTTTTCTATGTATGTTCACCAATTTCTCTGTGATTCTTTTACCGATCAGTGTGGTTCCACCACCAAAATAACCAGGAGAGTTTCTATTTGGTACCTTATATATTAGGTTAAAGCATAATATTTGTCTCGGTGAAATATTCTGAAAACCTTAAATATTCAACATTTATTTTGTTTACATTTGTGCAGAGAAGGCAATAAATAATAATAACATTCTACAGCTGTTAGTTGAAACAATTTAAATGAAGCTACAGACAATTCTTCATAAAACAGTTGCTTCATATTGATCAATGAACTATTTATTGCCATGGAGCCAATGAATTACATTGAGAAAAATGCATTTTGTTTTGGTTACTATAAAAAATGTATTTTAACGTTTGACCTGATTTGTGTATACAGTAATTCTGTTTTTAGTATTGAATATTCTGACTTACAAAAACATTTATTTTTCAGTGTATAGCTGCATGATATTGGCAAATAATGGAGTATTGTGAAAACCAAAGCATTCGTAAAACAGGTCTAAATATAAATTAAATGCAATTATTCCTTACACAACCTAAGAAATGTGACAGTGCATAATCGTCAATCCTCTTAAAAGTGTTAAATATTTTAATTACTAAACACGCATTTGCAGATGTGGAATGTTTATTGATATTCTCTCCCCAGTTACTATATCGTACTATTATGCCTGCTTCGGAAAGTCCTAGAGGAAGATGATTTGCAATTTCGACTAGGCTATATCTTGAGCAAACAAAAACCCCTACATGACTTACACCACTTTTAGCTGAACCAATCTTTTATATAATATTTTCCAAAGGTACTATAACGACCAATTTTTCACTTTTGAGATATTTTTTAGTGCTGGTAATAACTTTCAGTCAGAGTTTTAGCTGAGGAATAACTTTCATATTCTTCCAAAAGGCTTGAGACGTTACTGTATTTCTTTTTATAATGTAGAAGTACACCGATTGCAGGAAACGATGATGTCTGACATTTCAATGTATCTAGAAAAGACAATTAGTTTTTCATTAGGCCTAATGTAATGGACAACTCTTTCCTTCTTAAGGAATATCTAAAAATGTTTATTTTCATACCCATTGATTATGTAAGCTGAACAGGTGACTCAAGCAGTTTTAAAATAATAATTGTACTGTGGAACTTTTGATTGTGTCAAACAGTTTTGCTTCTCAAAAATCCTCAAGTAATTAATATATAAAAAATATACAGTCACTAAAAATCATGAAATAATGTATTTTTGTAAAAAAATACAACCGACTTCAAACGCTCTAAAAAGAATGAAATAATTTCAATAAAGTAAACTTTTGTATTAGGCAAGCTCACGTATTTCAAGTCGGCGCGGCTCAAACTGCAAATTTGATGGAAATTAAATATTGTGTGTGTATTTTGAAAATCAATAAATTGTAGCTGGATAACATAGATATATAAAAAACATACTGAACTGTTTTGTTTATATATTAAGGGAAATATCTTCTTGTATTTTATGTTTACTTCAGAATAAATGCATTATGAAAATAACTCACATAAATGTTCTATATGAATAGGAAAATAATTTAGTTTGATATTATGATAGGGAAAAGAAGCTAGTTTAGTCTTAAAACGTTACTTTTCCAATTAAGAAACATTTAAATGCGTTATACGCTTTTTGAAGATACTCGTTAATACCACTATAATACCGATCTCTGATTTCGGTAATAAAATAACACTTAACGCATGACTATGAAAAAGACATGCAGATTAACACCTTTAGTTAAAGATAGTCACCTGCAATATGGACACCCTCTTTCAATTTTGTATCAAAAATCATCATAGAGCCGCGCCGACTTAAAATACGTGAGCTTGCCTAATACAAAAGTTTACTTTATTGAAATTATTTCATTCTTTTTAGAGCGTTTGAAGTCGGTTGTATTTTTTTACAAAAATACATTATAGACAACTCTCCCCTAAGTCTCAACAAATTTACACGCCTGACGACTGGTACAGAACTATTGCTATGTCGAGGAAAAAGAAAGCCTTTCACGTGACAGTTATGACGATCGATGATTTTTTGTCAGTCGAAAATATCATAAAAAATATCAGCAAAAGAAAGAAAGACTGTGAAGGCAATCCTGTATCGTGGCTAAAAATGCAATGGATACGCTACCAAAAGAGCGACCCATTTAAAATCTTTTTCAAGGAAACTATATCTGAGGAGATGCCATTTTCGGCTCTGGATTTCAAGCCAACAGGGAAAAAAGGAAGACCGGTTAACGTTTGCAACATTGATCAGGATAAGCTATACAAAAGCCCCCGGCCTGTTACAAAAGAAAAAAGGAAAGACATTGTTTAATTTGATAAAAAGTAAAAAGTATTTTTTAACATTCAAGTTGTTTCTCTTTATTCTATCACTGTTTACAATCAATGTCATTGCTTAATTATTATTGACAACATATGTTAAACAAATTATTTTAAACAAAGACTTTTAAGTAAGTAATATACAAACATCTCCCTTTTTTAGCCGTCTTGACTGTCCTTCTTTTTTAACATAGATTTAATTTTTCTTATATGGTGTGTGTTTCTTCTTAAAACAATATTACTTTCTAATTTTACCAAATAAGAACGAGGTTCCGGTAATTTTTTAAAAATCACACCAGGATTCCAAAATTTGGTTTTAATATCCTGTACTAAAACCTCTTCTCCAACTTGGAATTCATCTTCTTTTTTCAAGGCTGATCTGTTATACATTTGTTCTTGATACCTTTTGCTTTCATTTATGCTTTCATGTACCTCAAAAGAAACTGTTTTAGGCTGTAAATAACTGTTTGGTATAGGTAGTTTTGATCTTATGTGTCTGCTGTTTAAAAGCTGAGAAGGTGAATAGTCCAGGTTTGCAACAGGTGAGTTTCTATAATTTAATAAGAAGAGTTCAAAATCCTGTTTACTTTCAGCACTCTTCTGTAACATTTTCTTTACAATTCCTACAGCCTTTTCTGCTAGTCCATTACTTTTTGGATAGTGAGGACTTGATGTGATTATTGTAAAATTCCAATTTATAGAAAACTGTTTCATTTCATAGCTATTAAATGGTTGATTATCAGCCACCAAATACATAGGGATCCCATTTCGACTAAATAGCTCTTTGAATTTACCAATTATTGTATTACTGTTTTTACTGTTCAACTTAAATACATCAATCCAACGTGAATAAAAGTCAACAGTTACAAGATAGTATTTACCTGCATATTCAGCAATATCAGCTCCAATCTTGATGAAGGGTATTTGAGGAACACTGTGAACTTTTAAAGGTTCATTCAATTTTGAACGTTGGTGTTTCATACATATAGAACATTGAGATACTGTATTTCTTATGTCTGATGACATTCCTGGCCAGTAAAAAAATAAATTGGCAGTTTTCAATATTTTAGTTGTTCCCAGATGAGTCTCATGCAGGTGTGACAGCATAAATTTCCTCAGTTTACTTGGTATTATAAGTTTGTCACTCAAATAGAGTAATCCATCTTGATGAGTTACATCATTTCTCATATTGTAATAAGTCTTTAGATCACCATCATTAACAGATTTTGGCCATTGGGTTTTACAAAATTGTACAACTTTGTTTAAAACATCATCATTTCTTGTTTCCTCTTTAAATTCCTCAAGTCTTCTATCACTAAACTTCACTTCAGAAGATTCAATACAATGCACAATACCATCTAAGGGTTCATGCCATTCAACCTCATCTTTAATACCATTCCGAGATAAAAAATCTGCAATATGCATGTTTTTTCCTGGCAAATATTTTAGTTTAAAACTGTATATCATCAATTTAAGTCTGAGTCTTCTTATTCTGTTATTGACAATTTTAAACAATGGCTTATTAAAAATTGACAACAGAGGTAAATGGTCAGTAAAAATTGTTACATTTTCATTTCCATATATATAGTTGTGGTATTTCTTGCACGAAAAACAAATAGCTAATAATTCTTTTTCAATTTGAGCATAATTAACTTCTGCTGTGGTCAGACTTCTAGAAAAGTAACTAACAGGTCTGCCATTTTGCATGCAACAACACCCTACAGAATCCTGTGAAGCATCACATTGTATTTCAATAGGAAGAGATGGATCAAAATTCCCTAAGACCTGATTACTACAGAGTGATTGTTTGATTTTTTCAAGAGCATTAGAATGATGTTCATACCATTGCCAGGGAACATTCTTTTTTAGTAAATCTCTAAGAGGTGGTGCTATTGAAGCCAAATTAGGGACGAAATTTCTGATGTAATTTACCATACCTAAAAATCTTTGTAATTCTACCTTATATGTAGGAGTTTTAAAATTCTTTATTGCTTCTATTTTTGAAGGATCCGGTTGCATCCCTTGTTCACTGAATATAGCACCAATATACTTTACCTTATTAACACAGTATTGCATTTTACTATAGTTAAATCTAATATTATACTGTTTTGCTCTTTCCATTACCTGCTTTATAATTTTATCATTTTCCTCTTTAGTATCAGTAGCAATGCACAAATCATCGAAATAGATTGAAAGACCTTTAATATCTTTGAAATATTTGTGTACCAATCTTTGAAATATTTCAGGTACACAAGAGAGGCCAAAAGGTGCCCTCAAAAATCTGTAAGTTCCAAAGATTGTGCTGAATTAACACATTTTACTGGATTCTTCATCTAGTTTTATATGATAAAACCCGTCTTTCAAATCTAAAATTGTAAAGTATTTCTTATTACTTAAGTTTGGAGCCAAGTCCTCTAGCAAAGGAATTGCATACCTCTCTCTTATGATATATTTATTGAGTTGTGTAGGATCAATACAGATTCTTAAAGATCCATTTGGCTTTTCTAGTACTACAATATTATTGACCCATTCAACCGGCTCTTCAACTTGCTTAATAATTTCATTGTCAACCAGCGAATTTAATGCCTTTTCAAATTTATCTTTAATTTTGTATGGTATTCTTCTAGCAGAACTTACTTGTGGTACTGCATCTTCCTTTAATTTTATCTTACAAATGTCAGGGAAACAACCCACACCATCAAAAACATCTTTATAATTGTTATAAATTTTTAATTTTTCTTCATCTCCTTTTACTGATAAACCATTAGCAACAGTATCTACCTTCTTTATTAAATTTAAACTTAGACAAGATTTCAGCCCTAGGATTGGAGTACATTCTCCACTGACCACTACTAACTTTACAACATCCATTTTATTTTCTGTCTCAATCTGTGCATCTATGTATCCTACTGGATTTATTTGAAACCCCCCGAATGAAATTAGTTTGTTTAGGTTTTTCTTCATCCTATTTTGTAGTTTATTTAGTTTTACAAAGGAATATGGGACAATGTCTACTTCAGACCCAGTATCAAGTTTCATTCTTACATTGAACCCTTCAACTTTAACACTTTTATACCAAGCTTTTTCTTGATTACCAATGGAATCAACTACACAAACTGTGTTAATCTCATATCCTTGGCAATTATGCACAAAAGAACTACTACTTTGATCAGTTACTTCGTTACATTTCTCATTAGAAAGAATATTTAAGTTTGTCCTACACATACTTGCAAAATGATTTGACTTTTTGCATTTACTACAGATTTTACCCCAAGCTGGACATTGTTGTTTTCCATGACTACCACCACATCTGTAACATTTAAAACATCTTTTACCTGTTTGGTCCTCCAACTTACGTGTCCCAGCAAAGGTTTTAGTTACTTGATGAACTTCTTTCTTCTCATCATGAATATTTGTAATTTGAAGTACTTCTTTCTTCTCATTGATTTCATTCATATTTTGTTCAGTTAACTCCATCGTTTTGCAGGTTTCTATTACCTTTTCCAATTTTAGATCTTCTCTCAAAAGTTTTTCTTGGACATTTTTTGAACTTAATCCCAGTATTATCTGAGCTCTCAACAGTTTTTCCTCTTGTTCTTCAAATTTACATGGTTTGACTAAATTTTTTAGGTCCGAATAGAATTTATGAAATGGTTCATCTTGTTGCTGCTTTCTTTTGAAAAACTTATAAATATCCATGATTTCATTCCTTCTTGGCGTGCAATACTTCTCTAGTGTCTCTAATATCGTTTTTACTGTTTCTGGTTCATCTTGTTTGAAATCTTTATAAATTTGCAATGCTTCTTTTCCTAGTAGGTTTTTAAGCCTTGCTGCTTGTATAGAGTTAGGTTTCTTTTCGGTTTCAGTGGCTATAAAATATATCTCCACTTCTTCTTTAAATGTCCTAAAATTTTCCTCCAAGTTGCCTTCAAGGCTTAGGATATCCGGTTTGTTAAATTCCATTTCTGTGTATATTCTTCTGATATTATTCTTAATCAAATCTTTACCGACTGCGCCATGTTTAATTTGATAAAAAGTAAAAAGTATTTTTTAACATTCAAGTTGTTTCTCTTTATTCTATCACTGTTTACAATCAATGTCATTGCTTAATTATTATTGACAAAATATGTTAAACAAATTATTTTAAACAAAGACTTTTAAGTAAGTAATATACAAACAGACATGACAGATCTGCTGCCATACATCCCTCCAATACACCACACTTATTTCCAGAGGCTTGTCACTAGCGAGAATGCTGAAGATGTTGGCCCACTTCAGGAAGAAGATGAAGAAAATGACAATGAGTAAAAAACTTATTTTATTTTACAATGTTCCAATGTTACTTTACTTATTATTGTAATAAAACAGAGTTTTAATGATGATGATTTGTTTTTGTTCTAAATAACACCTTACACCCATTTACAGCACAAATGGTGTAAGTACTTTAAATCACTAAAAAATATTTAAAAATAAATAAAAAGTTTTAAAAACATCAAATTAAGTTAAATACCACCTTTTTGTGCAGTTTTATTGAAAAGAACAGTCAAAAGTACAAATACTGAATTTTGTACACAACTTGTAACAAACCCTTTAATATCTCAAAACAAGAATAATGGGACTTACACCACTTGTGCTTTAAGGGGCTCATATGTGAATTAAATTATAAACTTAAAGTGTAAACAAAGCTTAAGCAATTTCAAGCTTTCTTTTTAATTCAACTTTTAGTAATTGGCTAACTATGAAAACATTTGTTTGGTAATATTTCATTTTGAGAATAAGACACCTACCAAAAAGAAACATAATTATTCAAAATAGGCAAGGAAAAGTTGAATTTTTGTTGACATCATCCCAATAACACAAGATACTTTGTAAGTTTAAGATTTTCTTTTCTCACACAAAGATTCTAGATTTAAAGATTTAAGATGCCACACCGAGAAATGCATAGGGTGACACAAACATCTTACCTTCAAGAACTCGGGAAAAACAACAAAGGGAAAGTCTAATATAATTTTAGTTCTTGAAACTGGGATAGCAAAAAAATATCCTGTATACCCACCATATCAGTCAATGTACTCGGCCAGCCAGCGGAAGCCGTCACCGTACCCTTGTCTCTTGAGCACTGAACACATAAACAGCTCTAGAGGTCGTGTGGGGAGTTCACTCCTGGGGACCTTTGCCTGTCATCAGATTAAACTGTTAGTTGATTGCATATAGGAATGTGAAGATACTGTCTAATAATAAATTATGGTAAAAAGTTAAGCCAAATATTTGCTCTTAATAGACAGATAGTTGTTTCACATTACCTTGCCTGTGGTCTGGCCATAAAGGTTGAAGAAACCACGTAGCTCGTCCTCCGATGCAGCACCTGCTCGGTCTATCTTGTTCCCCAGGATAAGGACGGGACAGCTGGACAGGGACTCGTCTGTCAACAGACTGTCTAACTCTGCCTTGCTCTCAGGCAGCCTCTCTCTGTCACAAGCATCCACTAGGAACACAATGGCGTCTACTGCAGGGAAATAGTCCTTCCACACTCTGCGAGCTGTAACATTCAACACAGTGTTCAGGAAGATAACTCAAGTAAAAATTTTTATGTTTTAATGAAGTTTTCTTAAAAACACAATTTACTACCCTCCTTGGAACAGCAAACATCCGATTTTTGAGAACAGAACTCCTCCCTCATTTTTTGACCGATTTTAATGATATATGTGTCAAAAAATGGCCCTGATCTGTAGTTTTGCAGTGTTTTTAATTTTTTGAAATCTTTATTAGTTTGGGCAGGATCTTCCATCAAAGTTGGGTTTTCTCCCATAAGATTAACATGGGGGAATCTATACTTATAAAAGGCAAAGCCCTCACTGACGCACTCATCACTAATTCTCCCACTTCCCATTTACCTAGGAGGCTGAAATTTGGTACATTGATTCTTTAGGCATTTAATAGGAAAACTAAGTTGTTTTTATTCTGATCGGACTCTCGGGCTCCGCCCCAGTGGCTCTGGAGTTTCCCATGTTAGCCTTATGATTTTTCATATTTAAAAGGAATTAATGAATCTTAACAGCGGTTTCAATTAAACAAGTTGGTTCTGTTCTATGATGTTCAATTGCATTAAAGTTACAATGATTACCAACAGGGTGCAGCACTATTATTTATTTTAATTAATGACAACAGCTAATTTGCAACCAAAAGGTGAGTGAGCGTAGCGAACGAACTTCAACCTGGAGACGAGTTAGCGTAGCGAACGAGCTAACCTGAAGGCAAGTGAGCGAAGCGAACGAGCTCCAACCTAAAGGTGAGTGAGCGTAGCGAACGAACTTCAACCAGGGCGTGATTGAGCCATGCGAACGAGATCATCTTGAAAATTAAGAAGTTAAACGGGGCAAAGCCCGCGGGTACAGCTAGTCTAAATATAATTGGAAACTTTGGCTCCACTAATTTGAGAGAACGGCTGTGCGTAGAAACTTGGTAGAGGTGTCCAAAGAAATGTCTTGGTCTGTAGATGAGTCATCGAAAGAAAAACTAAGTAAATTCCCTTAGGGCTCTGCCCCAGAAGCCTTTAAAGATCCCTCCACAGATTATTTGTTTACATTTTGGTCATGTGGATAGTACTTTTTAATGAAACAGCTGTTAATTTTTGAATTGTATTTTAAACAACACACAAATTTATTGGGAACTGAATTGTCTCAATGTTATTTTCTGATTTTAAAATTGATTTTCTTCTGTATCATGTCATGTTTTGCAATATAACGTTGCATTATGAAATCAGTGGAAAATCCTTTTATCACAGTAACTCCTTGCAATTATTTCTTATTGAACTATCTTATATCTATTGTACGGGTTTGTGTCTGCCTTTTTCAACACTTTTGGCTATATTTTATTATATTATTCTAGATTCTAGACATATCATCATAGGTTCATGAGATTATTGTCATACATGTTTTCAATCATTGGAAAAATCTTCAATTGTGTAATACAACACAAAATAATACAAGTTCAGAAGTGTCTTATTTACTTTAACAGTAACCCCACAACCAATTTCTCAAAACTATGCTAGAGGGTTATTCATTGGCACATAAGTTAGTATGATATGAACTGACGCGACGTGACAAAAGAAAAATCAAACTTACGCTGTAACGCATGGACCTCCCTTTGAAGTTAGAACGTGTCTCCTCAACAAACAGATATTTTTCCTCAAATAAAATCATAGATTAATCTTTACTAGTGGTCGTCCAGTGGTCGAAAACTCGACCAAAAACATGTCATGTCAACGTATTGACTATTGGATACTGAAGTTGAAATCCCATCTCTATGGACTAGCTGTCGCAATTTTTAAATTAAAAACATGTAGTTGTGTGAGCTAGTCACCGAATGCGTGTCTTAAATTCAATTTTCTACCTTAGTTTTTTTGCTGACAAAGTTGATTGGTCATAACAGTTGATAAAGCTCATAATAAGTCATTCCATAAGTTTGACTTGGTAAAAAAAACATTGTGTATTCAACGGAAATTAGTAATTTAGATCAGCGCAGTCTGTTGGTGGCTCACATCAACTACGACGAATTTAATAAAAAACTGGTGACAACTTTAACATGGGGATGGAATAAAGGTACAGGCTTCTCTATTTTCACTTTACGCTGTAAATAAAACATGTGATTGTAATTTCCATTTGTTTTTATTTTCTGTTTATATTTCATTGTTATTTCGTCACCAGCATGGCAACCCATAAAAAGCCCATGTTAATTTTTTCAAATTTCAAATCTATTTTTTGTGCTTATATTTGAGCCTATTTTAATTTTTAAAGGGATTCTGCACTTCTACAGGATAATGTCATTCTAGCTTTTGCACACGAGCTGAGAAATAAGGTTTTAAAGAAACATGCTTGCCTATTAATATATAGATAGATTACACTGATGAAATCGTGGAAGTTTTTAACTACAACAGATCCACCAAAACGATTTTAATACTATCTAAAGGTTCTTCCAAAAGAAGAGATACCAGTTAACATACTAATAATAACTCCGATGCTGTACGGTGTGGGAAGTATTTCATTCATGAATGATCTATATTTGGTAACTAACACAATTACACTTTAAACGCTAAATGCTCAAAATATGTATAATTTCACTCAATTTATCGCAGTTAGATGAATTAGTGTAAGCCTTGAAAGTAACCATCATTTTCAACGGGTTTCACCTAGTAAGCATTGATAAAATAAAGGATTACCTTATCCAACAACAGTTGTTAGTATGGCAACTAGTTTTGTTCCTTAGAACTTTGTCAGGTCATTGTATGCAACCACATCATTAATGTATTCACGGAAAGTAAATAAAGATTCGCCCATTGGGTCTGATGATTGGAGTGTCCAATCGAAATTGATCACCACTTACCATCTTTTGTATATTTACCGTCTTGTGAGTAACAGTATAAGCGTAAATATATGTTTTAAGTGTTATAAGACGTATCTTTATTTACTTTCCGTAAATTTAACAACATGTACAATGCTGATCAAGAAGTTATTTAATGTATTCACAAAAATCGGCTTAGCGTATTATATACAGTAGAGTCCCGCAAACTCGGCGTAATGTGGACTGGAAGGGTGCCGAGTTTGTGAAATGCCGGGTTATCGGGAACTAGGGTTAAAAACATGAACAATATAATTTTTAAGCTTTTTAACTGCCTCTTTTATTTATATTTATATTACAAGTTAGTATTAAGTCATCAGATAAATAAAATAAATCATTTGTACGAGCTGAGAATGATTTGACTTGAGCTGGCTTGAGTCCATGTTTAACTCGGACTCAAAAAATCACTAATTTTCTGAGCCAGGTGATAGCCGAGTTTGCGGGACTCTACTGTATATAGATAGATGAGCATAGGAAATCCAACACAACCCCTCCCATAGTGGTTTTACCAGATGGCCTTAATAATTATTTTGTATAAGTAGCTGATGGCATCATTACTAGGTGGCGTTCGCAGAGACATCCAAAAAATTGAGCGGAGTCATCAAGGGTTCATATTATATTGTTTTTGTCATACTGCAGTAAAAACAGTAGTTTTTAATGCATGCGTTGCTGGTCTAAAGTAGCATTTTTAATATTTAGGGAGTAAAAATAGTTTTTAGCCTCTATACAGTAAAAATCAGCTGTTGTCAACTCAGTTGTAAATTTTGATTGTAAACGATTGCAAGTATCGAAAATATGTATCGATTCGTGCTTCGTAATCATTTTAACATACAGTCTACAGTCTCTTCCAGTAGCATTTTAGCATTGCAGATATATTAATCCATTCCCACACTCAACACTGCTCCCCTTTACTACTTCCTTCACCACTCCCTACCTACGTCGTGGACCTGTTTCCCTCTCTTCCCATAGCATTTTAGGATTGCCAACATTAATGTAATTGCCAAAGACAGTTCCCACACTCTGCACTGCTAGCCTTACTACTTCCTTCACCATTTACTACGTCATAGACCTGTTTCCTTCCTTTCTCATAGCATTTTAGTATTACAGATACATTTACTGCCCAAACGGTTCCCCACCCTGCACTGCCAGCCTTTACTACTTCTTTCACCATTTCCTACGTCGTGGGGCCTGTTTCCTTCCCTTCTAATAGCATTTTAGTATTGAAGATACATTAATCTGAATGCCACAGACGGATCTCTCACTATGCTGATGCTCATACTTTACTACTTCCTAAGCCACTTCCTACGTCGTGGACCTGTATTCATCACTTTCCATAGCATTTTAGTATTTTTGATAAGTTAATCTAATTGCCACAAACATTCCCACACTCCGTACTGCTAGCCTTTACTACGTCATTCACCATTTCCTATGTCGTGGGTATGCTTCCATCCCTTCTCATAGCATTTCAGCATTGCAGATACATTAAAACTGCTACAAACAGTTTCCAGTTCCCACACTCCACACTGCTCACCTTACTACTTTTTTCACCTCTTCCTACGTCGCGGATCAGTTTCCCTCTCTTCCCATAGCATTTTAAGATTGTAGATACCTAAATCTAATCTTCATAAAAAGATCCCACACTCCGAACAACTTGCATTTACTACTTCCTTCACCACTTCCTACATTGCGGACCTGTTTCCCTCCCTTTCCATAGCATTTTAGGATTGCAGATACCTTAATCTAATCGTCATAAACAGTACCCACACTACAGACAGCTCGCCTTGACTACTTCCTTCACCACTTCCTATGTCGCGGACCTGTTTTCCTCCCTTCCCATAGCATTTTAGGATTGCAGATACCTTAATCTAATCATCACAAAGAGTTCCCACAGTCCGGACTGCTTGTCTTTACTACTTCCTTCACCACTTCCTACGTCACGGACCAATTTACCTCCCTTCCCATAGCATCATAGGATTGCAAATACCTTAATCTAATGGTCACTAACAGATTCCACACCCCGAACAGCTCGCCTTTACTACTTCCTTTACCACTTCCTACCTCGCGGACCTGTTTCCTTCCCTTCTAATAGCATTTTAGGATTGCAGATACCTTAATCTAATCGTCCTAAACAGTTTCCACACTCCAGACTGCTTGCCTTTACTACTTCCTACGACGCGGACCTGTTTTCCTCCCTTCCCATAGAATTTTAGGAATGCAGATACCTTAATCTAAATGTCATAAACAGTTTCCACACTCCAGACTGCTCGCCTTTACTACTTCCTTCATCACGGACCAATTTCCCTCCCTTCCCATAGCATCATAGGATTGCAAATACCTTAATCTAATGGTCACTGACAGATACCACACCCTAAACAGCTCGCCTTTACTACTTCCTTCACCACTTCCTACGTCGCGGACCTGTTTCCTTCCCTTCTAATAGCATTTTAGGATTGCAGATACCTTAATCTAATCGTCATAAACAGTTTCCACACTCCAGACTGCTTGCCTTTACTACTTCCTACGACGCGGACCTGTTTTCCTCCCTTCCCATAGAATTTTAGGAATGCAGATACCTTAATCTAAATGTCATAAACAGTTTCCACACTCCAGACTGCTCGCCTTAGCTACTTCCTTCACCACTTCCTACGTCACGGACCTGTTTTCCTCCCTTCCCATAGAATTTTAGGAATGCAGATTAGGTACCTTAATCTAATCGTCATAAACAGTTGCCATACTCTAGACTGCTCACCTTTACTACTTCCTTCACCACTTCATACGTTGGATTCCTGAGAGACTTTTTTAACGCCATATAGATGTTGGCACTCACCGATATGGTCTTTATCACCATGCAAAATTTGAAAACGATTGATTCAGCCGTCTAGGAGGAGTTTGCGTATTACGAAATGCATAAGAGTCAACGTATAAGAGCTTCGCTCAAAAAGTATGCCTCTGTTAAAGCACATGGACCCTCTGGACAACATAACTGACACATACACACCAATTTTTATCCCATAAAACCCAGTTACCATGGCCCAATCATACTGGATTGCAAACTCATTTAGAATAAACATAGATTTACATGTTTGTACCAAATTTCATCAAAATCAGATAATGTTTGCTCGAGTTATTGTGCTAACGGACAAATATATATGTGTGAATTTCAACGGATGGTGTTTTTGGTCTCTGGAGGCATAAAAAAAAGCAAAAAAGTCAATCGGTTCCGGGTCCAGGTCTTACCATGAGACCTACGGTAATAGCTTATCCCCTATGGAAAATTTGCTTTGACAATGTCACATGTGTAATAACTATGCTATGTAGAAACGTTTATGTGAAAATAAAGTTTGATTTGATTATTTTATAAGAAGTAGTTTCTGCATCATATGTGCTGAAATACGTCAATAAAGTTATGATAAATAAGTAAATATTATTATTGAGTCAAGGAAATGTCAAACATGTAATAGCAGCATGTAGGGTTAAGGTTATCACAAACAGGTTCAGATATCAAATGAAGCTCATGTTAACTGATTAGGCTATGTAATGTAGAAGACACATACCTTGTGTGTGGCCTCCAAGGTCAAATGTTGTAAACCTCATGTTGCCAATAGAAAGCTCTTCTGAAGCTGAAAATAAATATAAAATTAAGACATTAAAAACCTAAAATCATAAATGTAAAAATAACCAAACATTAGAGCTATAACCCGAAACAATCGGTACTCATCAAAATTGTTCATATAAACAACTACCTAACATTAATAGTGGTCTCACCAAATTCAATGTATCATACAAGGTGTCCAGTAAGTAATTACTTGTGTGTCACATTTTTTTACTTAGTGTTAACATTTATGGGACAGAAAAAAACAAAAAATCAAGAATAACTTTTTTTTTTAATACCTTGTTAGCAAGATATCTGCCATTTTGTTGTTTTGTATTTTTAATGTAAATACCATCCTTTAAATTGTTGTACATATCCTAATGAGATTTGGTACCCAATTTTAAGTAGCAATAAGCTATTCACAAAAGATTATCACAAAGTATTTTTTAGTTTTAAAATGGCAGTCATTACATTTCTATAAATATTTTTTTTTAATTGCTGACTTATTGGAAAACGTTTTGAGCACTTACATTTTTCTAACAAACGACGCCAAGTTCAAAAAGATTGAATAGAATAAATAGCTAAAAAAACAAAAACGATTTTTAGTTGTTCAGTCCAGGCAAAATAAGGGCAAGCTGTCAGGGTAAGCCCTACACCTAATTTTTCACCTAAATTCATGATTTTTCAGTAGTTTACTATTCGGTTTTAGATAACTTGGTGTTGTTAGGAAATTCTGTTACAAAAATTAAAATGACCGCCATTTTGAAACTAAAAGATATTTTATTTTACCAAAGCGTATCACTATAACTTAAAATGGTATACCAAATCCTTGATTATTCTTTATCTTTGATAATTTTAAAGATTTAAATAAAAAATACAAAAAAACAAAATGGTGTGTAACTTACTAAGGAGGTGTTTTTGAATAAGTTTTATATTCATGATCTTTGTTTTGACCCATGAAACCTATTCCCACATGTTTTGTACTTAATAACAGGAATTTATGGATAAAATCATATTATTCATTTAATACTTTAACATATTAATTTTGTTTTGTAGTTGTTGATATTTTTTATTTAATGGCTGTAAAGAACTAATACCCTGGAAAAAAACTAACTTGCCAACATATCACAATATTTTGCCAAAAATAATCTTACTCAAACGGATCAAAATTATAAAATCCCAATTGAGTGCCTATATCCCACAACACATGACAGAATGATTCTGCTAATAATAACTTTTAGGCTATGTTACCACCTACAATATGGACTAGGTGAACCCGTGCGAATTCGCACGAATAATAAATTAGGATATTATAGCAACGTCGATAGAAGTTACGTCGTTGTATCGACGTTGGTCTTGAGCTCGATCGTTGGCTTTATGCATTCTAAGTTCTTTTGCTGTTCATTAGGAGTAGTTTGCAGGACGGAACTAATCATGCTGAAAACTTGCGCGTATGGATTAAAATCAACCAAATGTTGAGTCAAAATGTGCATGAGTTTAGTGTTGCAAGAACCATTAGCTTTGTTTAGCATTCTTCCTTGAACAGCGGTTTTGACGTCCGTAGATATAAATTTGGGCATATGTTGGATGCTCCCCTTCTGACAGTTGAAAGGTGCCAACTGAGTGATAAATTGTGCACCTTATACATGAAAGGCCCTCCACTGTTATGTTCTTCAATTTTAGCTCGAGTGCTGACCATTGCGAGCGCAGAGTTGTACGATCTAACTATGCGCTCGCAATGGTCAGCACTCGAGCTAAAATTGAAGAACATAACAGTGGAGGGCCTTTCATGTATAAGGTGCACAATTTATCACTCAGTTGGCACCTTTCAACTGTCAGAAGGGGAGCATCCAACATATGCCCAAATTTATATCTACGGACGTCAAAACCGCTGTTCAAGGAAGAATGCTAAACAAAGCTAATGGTTCTTGCAACACTAAACTCATGCACATTTTGACTCAACATTTGGTTGATTTTAATCCATACGCGCAAGTTTTCAGCATGATTAGTTCCGTCCTGCAAACTACTCCTAATGAACAGCAAAAGAACTTAGAATGCATAAAGCCAACGATCGAGCTCAAGACCAACGTCGATACAACGACGTAACTTCTATCGACGTTGCTATAATATCCTAATTTATTATTCGTGCGAATTCGCACGGGTTCACCTAGTCCATATTGTAGGTGGTAACATAGCCTAAAAGTTATTATTAGCAGAATCATTCTGTCATGTGTTGTGGGATATAGGCACTCAATTGGGATTCGTTGGTGTTGCACCTTATTTATTACAGGCTTATTCAATTTAATTTATGTCTTAACTGTGTAAGTTTTGCTTTTTCTGTCTGGATTCCAAAATGTTAGTTTATGCTAAGAAAACGCTAACGCATTTTAGTAAAACATTTATTCAGCAAACCATCATGAATTGTTCAAACGCTTTGAACGTTGTTTATGTAGGCCTATCAATAGTTCGTGGCCTATTTTGGTAATTTTTATTATAAATTACCAATCTAAATCGTCTATAGATTTACTGTACTTCATTTCATATAGCAAACCGATTCATATAGCATTTCGACAGAATTTCGGGTCATCTTCGGTCCAAGCAAATATAAATTGTTATGATAAAATTTTATGACATTAACAAAGATTTCAAATACTAATTTTATATGTACTTTGTTATGCTTAAAGCGTAGCAAATTCCCTAATTAAGTTCTGTATTTTTGTGTATATGTCGTTGGTAACGCATTAATGTCCTTATTTCTCAGTGTTTCATGGAAAGGACAAGAGCACCTTGATAATGAAAATGTCAACCCGAATAAAGTGTTAAATTGTGAGGTTGAGGTAGTACCTTAAATACTTTTAACCATTGTGGAAAGTAACTTTCAATTATAGGCCAACCTTAGGGCTATGCCTTATAAAAGCTGTGTCTAAGGAATAAGTCGGCCTTAGACTACAAGATCGCGCCACTCATCCTACACTCATCTCCATTCATACTTCGCTTAAAATACCTACTTTGTTTGGTCGCCATTTCAAAGAAAAGTATTAAAGTAAAAGTATTAAAGTATAGATCTATAAAGCATTTTTTAGTTTAACGATTGGATTTAACATATGGACCAACAAGATCCAGGTGACATTTAATTGCGAAGCATTAGTTTTGGCTTGAAACTGCCAGATACTGTATTTGCAAAGGTTTATATATAATAGTTTTGTCAGCATATCTGAAAGTATGCAAACCAACTGCTGTGCTTAATATAAGAAGGTTTTAACTGACTTTGATAAGATCCCCGTGCGTAGAACGGGCACACAACTAGTTGTTCACAAAGTTTCATGTTGCATATTAAATATATAGATAGATGTATTGGTAGCCTAGTGGTTAGCATCTCTGACTTGGGTGCGAGAGGGACAGGTTCAATTCACGGAACACTTTAAATGGTTTTGAACCACTTTCCAAAAAGCGTTTGTATACCTCCTTTATAGCTCCTTGAAAAATGTGACAGACGTAGACAGTAAAAATAAAAGTAACCATATTTTTTTTATTTTGACGATGAAAAAATAAATCTTAGCAACACAGCTAATTTTTAGGAATTGATGTAGATAGTTTATTGAATTGGAAGAATCACATTCACTAGAGTACCCGTGCGGCTCAATGAGCCGCATAGTATGAAACATAACTCCGAGGAAAACGTTATGCTTAAATTAGAGTAATTCTAGTTACATCTTAGAGTAGTTTAAACACTTGTTAGAAACTAATTTTAAATACCTCTATTTGCGTTGTAAAAGGTTCACCTACCTACATCATTTCTGCGCTCAGTTTTAACTGATAACTCCTAATGAATGCTAAACGATCTGCTTCAATTCGAGTTAACATGTTACAACAAAGTTTTTCCAGAATTGAGAATTAAAGAAAACTGTTGCCTTACTGTTGCCTGTGTTAAGTAATTTAAGTTTGGGTCATTTTATTTCTTTGATTTGAGACTTCACTCTAAACAAACGAATTTTCTCCGTAGAGAATCCTGAAAGGGTGGGTGATATCAACCATTTCATGTTGTCCATTTTTTATCCACAAACTCTGGGTTACCAACTGGACAGCCATAATCTGCGTTAAATAATAGGCTAAAGCAGCAACACCATTGAAAGATGGTTAACGTATTTTAACGTGTTGTCTGTCAGTCACAGTATATCAACGCAGTATATGCCCCGCATTATAACGTTCTTACGTTGTTCAGTGGAATTCCTCTTTTAATACCTGTACCAAAGTTTTGAAAGTATGGATTCATTTGTCGAAATAGGTTGGATAACTCTTGTAGCTATCAAATTTGGATATCAATTTTCATTTTCTCTTTTTGAAAAGCGTATATTATTTGCCTCTCCTGAATCAAAAAAATAAACTTTACCGTAACTATTTGATCGTTAAATACATAAACACTAATTCCTTCACTTATGTTTGATCTAATATTGCCACTAAGTTTTTGAAACTTCTGATTTTTGACCTGAAATGTCTGGATTGTGTTGGTGAATTCAGTCCAAAAATAATTTGGTACCTATATAAGTTTGTCAGAGGTACGGGCAACACAACTTAGAAGTAAACAATCCAGTTGCGTTTTTCTCAATTGAAGTAGACTGAGTAATACAGAAAGTTTACAATAAAAACATAAGGTCCGCAAGGATTTGGTATAATCTTACTACTTAAACTTATCATAGTCAATGCATTATTATAGTTTCTACTAAATGTTTTGAAATTTCTCGATCCGAAAGTGTCAGAAGTAAACAATTCTTGCATGCATTCATTTGATCTGTGATTAGCCAAGTTTACTTAACCAATGTGAAAACACTATGTGCTTCGTATATTTTTCCACTTCCAAAGTAAGTTGCATAGCATAACTGTCAAATATTATTCATCTCACCAAGTGAATTTGTATCTGGATGGGTATCTGTTAGACCAGGCCTATTTTTCTATTCTCCTCATACACATAAGATATCTTATTATTAATTTTCTCCTCCTCCCGTTTTCAATGTTTCTCCTTTGAACTTGAGGCATTTTCTGTTCTTCCAACAAAACTGATAAATTGTTCAACTTGGCCTTAACCTACTGAATATTAAAAACAATAATATTTACTCCCAAAAAGCTAATGAGTTTCCTTTCATTAACAGCTGTTTTTTGTTTTTAAATTTGTTCTGTGTATTTCTTATGGGGAAAACCCGACCTTTGAGAGGGTCTCACGCCCTTAAGAGTAGGAATTTTAGAATTCTAAAACCTTATTGCAAAACTACATATTGAGACGAATCTTTTGACACCTCAAACGTTGAAATTGATCCACAAATAAGGGAGGAGTTGCGTTAACAAAAAACGGCTTCACGTATTATATATATCTATATCTATACTATTATATAAAAATCTAATGGTGTCTGTATGTGTATTACTAATAGGTACAAAAACTACTGAACCAACTGGGCTTAAATTTTACAAAAATATAGCTACTATACCAAGGACCATTATAGGACTATTCACATTTCGATACTGACCGTAGGCTTTGCCCCTTTGGCTTTAAAAGTTCTGAGATGAACATTTTAAAAGTAAATATTGATTGGTCTCCATGGCTGTAATGAGAACACTAACAATGTTTGTTTACATTTACTTTGACATATAAACAAGAAGAACTGCTAAACTGCATATTTCACAATTTCAGACAGCTGATACAAAGAAATTAAATATAATATTTTCCATAAATATGAGGTAGGTTTATTTTAATCTAACCTTTTATCATGGATTATTTATTCTAAAACTATGACAATGATACTAGAAAAAAAAAGATTTTATAACCGTTTTGGATTTTTTAAAGCGTCTTAAGTTAATAATCTTAAGTGAAAATAATGTTATTGATATGTTTTCATGGAAACAGTATGAAAATTACAATGTATAGATGTTTTGTATGCATTTGGAGGCTACTTTAAATAAATTCTAACTGCTTCACATGTGTTAAATTAACTTAACATAGCTTTCACATCACATTGTTTTTTATATGTATATTTAGGTAAATTAAGTTATTGTGTTTTAAATTAAACTAAAGAATATCATCAATAACTAAATTGTCGTTGATTTTTGTTTTCTAAAATCTGTTATATATGTGTAACTATATTTAATTATCAAATGGTAATACAAAATACTCTTATTTTATCCTAACAAAGCTTTCAGTTCACATTTACTTTATTTGATACATTTATTATTTGTGTTTTGCCACACCACTGATTAAATTAAACCAAGGAAAATATCATAAAACTAAGCAGTACACAGTGTTCTTTTGTTTCTAAAATCAATGAAATATCTGTTACTATGTTTTCTTAATGGTAAGTGTGAAAATGTAAAAGCAATGGATGATGGAACTGATTAAAAGAACTGGTTTGTATATTAAGTTGTTTGTTGATATTTTTGTTTAGTAGAATCAGAGATGCAATGAAACATATACTGTATTTGCTATTACATTTTTTAGTCCTTGATAATCATATTAGTTTTGTCTGCTGTATTAATGCTACATTATTTGTTTGAAATTTTTAAGTACCTATAGATATAGTTTCTTTAATATTTCAAAAGACTGTATGTATTGGTAAGGCACAGCAATATTTCTAAAGTTTATAACAGCTGACTTAGTTTTGCTATTGATTTATTGTGAGTGAAAAACTGAAGATGAAAGGATTTGTGATTTAATATAAAGAAGAGTTTAATATAAAGATATTTAAATTTAATAATTAGTATTTTTGCAACTTCAAAATTGAAATTGAAAATGTCAATAATAAATTAAAACATGTGTAATTAAGGGAGATGAAGGTAAATCTGGTAAATCATGTATGTCAAGGTTTTACTCGAAGATTTGGTCAGTTTTTCTCATATCAGCCTACACAAGATTTAAAATTAATCAAAATCAAAATGGTGGTATCCACTACTTACCAGATTTAAAGGTCATAACTAAAACGTTTCTATTAAGGCCATAAAAGTTGAATTTTGTTTCTAAAAGCGTTGGCGGATGTGTAACTATTGTATGCAAGAGATAAAGATTAAAATGTTTCTATTTTGTGTCCTCTCCCCGTTGCAAAGCACGGGTACAACAGCTAGTAGATAGATAACACCTCTAAAAAGTTAAATGATGGTCTTAAGAAATGTTGTTGAATGATTTATCACGCTTTATTTTCAACAATTTTACAGTATGGAATAGAGCTTTGGGGCGTCACCTCTGATTCGTATCAACTTTTTAAACTTCAAAAAAGAATACTTAGAATTATGACATTTAAACCCGTAAAACATTCTTGCAAACAACTTTTTAAAGAACTAAAGATTCTAACCGCCCCTAATTTGTATATTCTTAAATGTTTATTGTATGTGAAATCAAAATTTGAAAAACTCCACAGTGAAAATAATCGGCACAATTATAACACTAGATTTCATACAGATTTTCAATATCCTATACACAGATTAAATCTTGTGGAAAGGACACCTTTCTATATGGGTTAAAGATTTTTTAACAATTTGCCTGGGTACTACAAATCAATAATAGGATTAGTATCTTTTAAAGAAAAATGTTTTGAATTGTTGTTGGAAAAGAATTATTATAGTATAGATCAGTTTCTCGAAGACAAATCATTGTGAATTGTTTGTTTTGTTACTATGTATTTATTTTTACCAATAAGCTAGTTTATTTTAGTATAGTTTGACAATGTTACCTGTTTTGTCTGGCTGTGCCAGAGAATTTAAAAAACGTTATGTGACAATAAAGATGACTTTGACTTTAACCAGGGTGTATATAATTAATTACTGTCTTAGACTTACTTGGATGCAGGGTGGGAACTGGCTGCGCAAGACGGTCATCTTTTAGCATGTGAAGCAGCGTTGTTTTGCCAGCATTATCCAAGCCCAAGAAAAGCAATTTGCCAGACTTCTTATACAAACCTGAGCAAATACAAATTTTAATTTATAACAAACAACTTTGACAAATATGTTCAACATAAACATGGCAAGTTACTCCCATAAACGACTCTTGATTAAAACAAATTTATATTCTTTCTCTTAATTTTCTGAATGTCTATAAATAAAATACAGGGTTATTCTAAATGATGGACCCATTTTTAATGCTTTATAATTTTTATACTACTAAACTTACCGCTATAAAATACACATCAAACGAAAAAGCAACTCAAAGAGTTTATGCCTTCCAAAGACACATCATTTAACAATATCGATCCAACAGAACTGTAGATTTAATTGTACAAAGTTAAAAAGTAATCTCCAACTTTTTTTACCACTAGAAATTTGGAGGTTACTTGACGTTTTTGCAAATAACTTTTAAGTGGTGAGGAAATCGACCAAAGTGGAAGGTAATATTCCGAAAGAGAATAAAATTTCCTACAATCTACTACTATGCATTTTTTGAAAATACTCAAGAAAGGTACCAAAAATTGCCTCAAAATGAAAAAAAATTGAAAATCCCCGTCTTCAATTGTAGACAACAAACATAGCAAACATTAAATTTCACACTTTTTTATTTTAAGCCAAATTTAGGCTACTTTTATTGAGTATTTCCAAGATATGCGTAATAGTAGATTGTAGGAGATTTTATTCTCTTTCGGAATATTACCTTCCACTTTGGTCGATTTCCTCACCATTTAAAAGTTATTTGCAAAAACGTCAAGTAACCTCCAAATTTCTAGTGGTAAAAAAAGTTGGAGATTACTTTTTAGCTTTGTACAATTAAACCTACAGTTCTGTTGGATCGATATTGTTAAATGATGTGTCTTTGGAAGGCATAAACTCTTTGAGTTGCATTTTAGTTTGATGTGTATTTTATAGCGGTAAGTTTAATAGTATAAAAATTATAAAGCATTAAAAATGGGTCCATCATTTAGAATAACCCTGTATTTCTAGAAAGTATTAAAAGAGGTTAAACAAATAATATGTTTGAAAGTTTTGTTTTACTCATTGATAGAGGTAGCAGATTTGACTATGACCAGAAATAGATATTCAAATGCCATATAAAATGTAAAGGCCATTTTTAAAGTGAAAATAAACCAAGTTTAAAATTGAACTTCCCAGATAGAATGCTGATGAAAATTACTGACTTCTGCTGAATAGTCTATGTTAACATTTTAAAACAGAATAGACAAATTATTGTAATAGAACATTCACTATGTAACATCAACCAACCGCAAGGGGCTCACGCTTGCGTGGGTTCGTGGCCTGGGCGACCACGCGGACCCTAGCTCTCCCAGAGGGGAGGTAACTGCCCGGTGTCAGACCCGGCACTTCAGGTAGACCACAGTTATGGACGACTGGTAAGCGCCGGCCCCTTAGGGGGAGCCTCCAGTGACATTCCCTCCATTCAGGGTGGGGGGGGTGTTTAGCTCTCAGTGACGCCGTTAATTCCGCCTCTCCTCATCTACCTGTAACTGTGGTTGTGACTGAGTCCTACCTGTTGTGTTCGACTGACATTTTGTGAGGCATATCCTCGACTTTGGAAGTAGCCTCGTCCTGGGAGGTGAAATACCTAGCCCCCAGAGGGGAGGTAAATGCTCCGTGTTGGTATCGGCATTTTCAAGTTGGCCACAGACATGGTCGACTGGGCATCGGGTCCCAGTGACATTCCTTTATCCAGGATGGAGGGGTGTTTAGCTCTAGGAGAGATGGAAGTACATCATAATCTCTAACCTACCTGTGTCTGTGGTTCTTTGGGCTTCGGCCTGCTTGTTGTGTGCGACCAGCATTCAGTGGGCAAATCCTCGACTTTGGAAGTAACCTTTCCTGGAGGTGAAAACGGGCAAGTACCCGCAGCTCACGGGGACACTCAAGGGCAACGTAACTTTCCGCAGTGTGAGGGCAACGGTTTGTAGGTACTTATGCAAACCTATCCCTGTCTCTGAGCACGGACGGTATGGTTATCTCGAGTGTGGGGGGTTCTTCCCGGAACCTCAATTGAGTCAAGGGTGTCGCCACCTCTGGTGGATAGGTTCATCCGGGTGGGTCCCACTTCTATACCTGCCTCCTTTTGGGAAACCCTGATGGCCTGGCAGTGATGTTGGGTTTGACGGGCAAACGAAGTAGATCGGGTGCTGGGTCCGAGCCCGCCAGGGGTAGCTGGGGATCTATCGCTCTGGTTATCTCTGGTTTCCCAGCAATGGGTAAGGCCTCGATCGGGCAGCGGTGTAAATGGGAGATTGAGGTTCCCCCCGTCAGCGTGCTGATGGTCCCCTTCCTCCTGGCTATTGATGGCGGGTTCTGCCTGTCAGGGATTAGATAGGTCCCGAGTGTTGCTTGCACTAAATGCGTCGGGGCGCTCTACTATGGACCTCTAGGTTCTGACCTAGTGGAACCCAGGTGGAGTGACGCTTAAACAAGCAGCCGGAATCCCTGGTTAGGATTGAGGGGCAACCCTCTTTCCGAAGGGTCTGCTTCAGCAGCCGGCGAGCCTGATGACCTTAAGTCATCCGCCCATGATGTGCTAAAGGTTGATGCGTAAGCTTCGGCCTACATCATGGGGCCCGGGTATGTCCTGAAGGATAGGTACCGGGTAAGCAGTCAGGGGGCTTAGGCTCTCATGACAACAAATGTAAATGTAATGTAACATCAACTATCACAGTAACAAAAACTAAGGGAGAAAATACAATTTTGGACTGTAGCACACTCTGTGGTTAGCTCATTAGTAATGGCTACTATGACTGTGGGTCCATAAAATGAAAAGTCAATGGTAACAGGTATAATATTTGTTCTGAGTTTGTACTATAAATACTGAAAGTGTGGTAGGTTTATAAAATAAACAGTATCAGCAATCTGACACTACTTTCTCCCATTAGCTTGTCAACAACCTATATAATGAATGCAGGTTAGGCATCAGGGTAGGCCTATGCTGTTTTATAGGAACAATCACAAAAGTTGCAATAACTTTTAAACCGTAAATGTTACAGCAATGGTGGGTTACACTATACTGTTTAGAACTATAATGACCATAACATACTAATTTTAATCAAAACCAGCACTTTTTCAAATTGATTTTCCGTTATTTTATGGGGATTTAATGAGAAAATAACAAAAGTTACAATAACTTTTTAACCGTAATTTTTTAAGCAATGGGAGTTACGCCATTTTCTTCAGACTCTAAAGGGCTATAACATACTAAGGTTTTATCAAAATCGTTCAGGCCGTTTTTGATATAATCAGATTTTTCTGTTTTTATGAGAAAATCACCATTAAAAATAAAAATTTCTAAAGAGTGAAAAAAATGCCTAGAGATACTATGGATTAGAACCTACATACCAAATTTAATCAAAATCGGACCACAGGTGTGGTCTGTAGCTCTGTACTCAGACACACACACAGACATCACTTCGAAAACCACTTTTTTGGGTCCAGGGGGACCCAAAACGGATCCACCCAAAACGCAAACTAGAAAATTTGTGACGAAAACAATACTTTCTCCATATACTATAGTAGAGGGTAGGGGGAGAAAGTCAAATCAACTTGTAGTAAAAGAGTATCTTTATATAAGGCTTAAAATACCCACACCTAGATGTGCATGGCTGTTTTAAAGTAATGATAATGTAACTGTAATATAAATAGAAGGAACTTTAATCATGACGGAAACAAACAAATTTAAACCCACCTTTATAAAGAACGAGAATTGTTTGTCAATGAAGTTGTCTAGGCGTATTTACTATGACCCTTTGACCGTAAGCAGGGAAAAAAATGTAACAATTGAATTTTTTTGGACTGCATTACATCAAACCTCTGTCTTGCTAGTTATTATTTAAGTAGTTTATTTAAACATGCAATATTTCAGAAAACTTATTTAATAAAGTTATTCTAATATTTTCGTTTGGGTGTGATAATTGAAGTTAAGCTCTTTAATTTTTTGCGTTCTGGCGGTGTAAAGTTGCCAGTCAGCATGTGAAGGACAACTGCCCAAAGTCAAGATGATCTTGTAGTTGTTATCTCAAGGACAACATACAGCTGAATGATATGACGTTCAACCTTCCACGTTATGTCATTGTAATTTGTATTTTACAAAGGCGTTCAACATTTTCTGGTGAATGGTTAAAATCTGTTATTTTATTGTTAAACGAATACACTTTAAAACTTATTCATTTAGATTATGAAAGACTATAGACTGGTAATTTAGCTGACATATTTTCTTTTGGTGGAAAATTACATTTTGTAAGTGAAGATTTATGTTTCAAGTATCTATTTCCACTAATAAAATCATTTGTATATTTTATTGAAAACTGTTTTGTTTCTTTACACTAATTTGAGAGAACAGCTGGGTGTAGAAACTTGGTAGAGGTATCAAAGGAAAGATCTGTAGATGAACCATCAAAAGAGAAACGAGATAAATTCCCTTGGGGCTCTGCCCCAGTGGCCTTTTAAGTTCCCTCCCATGCTATTCTTATGAGAAAATATTTTTTTACATTATAAAACAGCTGTTAGAACTGAAATTACAGGCCAAGAAAACATGTGTTATAAACACTCACTAAATTTGTTAAAATAAAATGTTTTATTCTTTTTATTTAATAGTATATTTCGTACCTAGGGCCGAAAATCAGGGTTTGCTGGCTTGAGATAGTTTTTAAGTTCGAGACGAAGTCGAGAACTTAAAACGATCGAGAGCTGCAAAACCATTTCGGTCCGTGGTACGAACGCTATTTTTCACCACACTATACCTTACCACTATTCACCACAATAATAATGCACACTGATAGTCAACACAACTACAACATTAAGGTTATGTGAAGAAATAATTTGAGGAATCAGCAAAAATAATAATAAATAGTTGCTAGGCAGCGGTGACAATAAAACAATTCTATTGCAATGCTATGGATACTGATTGTACGTATTTAATTATGCATTCATGTTTTATGAAAGTAAGCGGGCAGCTGATTTTGCAGCCCTAGGGATGTAAAAACCTGCTCGGTCCCCAAATGACGATAACAGCTGGCATGGCTAGCAAAACGTAACTTTCAGCCACCAATTAACGTATGCAAAAAAGCTAAAAATATCATAGAGTGGTGAAAAATTTATTTCACTGCATAATTATGTTTACTAATAGTTTGAAAGAAATTTTGTGTTTTAAATAGCCTATATTCTCACTACCTATTTGTTTTTGTACTAAATTATAAGCTTGAATACAAGTAACTAATATTACATTATGAAAATAGTGGAATAGTCAGTCTCTGAGGTTATTCCTACGTAGAGTTAACGTTCATCTACAGTATAGTAAGGGTTGGTATTAGCTTTTTTCTATGACATTCAAAGAAATTGTTTGAAAATCAAGAACGAATGTCCGAGATTTGTGGGATTATTGGCATAATATGATTTGGATCATTGGGAAGAACTTAATGTCATACAATAACAACCATGCAAGTGTAGAAGAGTAATATTGCTGATTATGAGCTGTGTTCACATTTTGCCGAAATTACGTGAATTAAAAGTTGACTAGGTTGAGTTTTATAATATATGTCTTAGAAGAGAAGTTTTTTTCATGGAGAAATGTAGACAAGATTTGGAAATGAAAATCATAAAGCTGGAAGATTGAATTTTACTATTTTACTGAAAAATGTTGATGGGGTGTTACTTTAAAATATCGGTATAGCTTAGTGAAACGATAATACACACTAATTTAACTAAAACCCTTTAGAAATCATTAAAATATAATTGAATTAGCAAAAATTTAATGCCAGGTTTACTAGACATACTCGGCAAAAACTATACAAAAAATATTCTAAAAGAACATCAAGCAGCAGCCTTAAATACCAAAAAAGTTACCCAGATAAATATAAACTGCTCAAACCCAGTACTATGAAAAGTTCCAGGCCATCTACATGCATTTGGGTTGTGATATTCATAATCTGGATTGAATTGCTCTTGGACCAACAGATTCTTCTTCCTCTGAAGAAGTTTATTGTAATCCAACGTATAACATCCGATCATGGAGATCTTCCCTAATGTTAGCCTTACAGTTGGCCTATTAAGACCTTGGACTACTTAATGATAATATATACAATGAAGGTTATATCAAATGAAGGATAAACTTATTACTTATGTAAATAGTACAATTTAAAAGTAAATAATAACTTACCTAAATATCCAAGAACTCCGGTGAACCAATCCCACAAAAACATGATATATCTGTAGAAAAAAATAGGCCTAGTTTAAAATTGGCAAGGCGGAAAGGACAGGAAAGACTGTCAAAAATATAAATCAAGAGTAATTTCATAAACCAAATGTCAAAGAAATATCCAGAATATATTTCTAATTCCTAGTCGTTTGAATAATATTTTGTATGATAATTCAGTATAAATAGGCTATAGCAAATAAAATGCAATGAACGTTTACTGCATGACATTTAGAAGAGGTACAGACAGTTCTCAACTACGAGACCTGTTTTGTAGAAAGAGGCGTCTTAGGAGGACCATCAGTTTAAGGAGGGTTTGGGTTACCGTACTATAAAAACTGAACTATTTAAACAGTAGGCCTAACTATTTAAAACAACTTTTAATAAACTTTTATTATTAAAAAAATTATTAAGGACATTAAAATGAAAAAGTAAATTGGTTCCGGGCCTAAGTCTTACAGAGCCGCCTACGGTAATAGCTACTTCCCCTAAGGGAAATTTACTAAAAATGGTATGGATTTTAACATAAAACAAATCACGTCACTGGCCCAAATGTCTATAATAACTGTAACAGCTGGTTTGGAAGTTTTTTGACAGTGCCATGATCTGACTTCCTCTTTCAGTGTTGCTTCTAGAACTTTGACTCGTCCAAACCACAAATATGTGAATAAATCAATAAAACTTAAGCTTGACATTAATTATTTAACTCTGTACGGCCACTTAGGAATCTCTCCAACAAAAACTGATTGCATTTGAGTAGACATCTCAAAATTACATCATACCGTATCCCAATGTAGATAGAGTAAATAATTACCAAATTATGCACTATGGTACGTTTTAAATTGTAGGTACTGTGGGATTGTGGATTATGCACTATGGCACTGTTTCCACTCCACAAACCATCCTCCCCTTTCAGTGTTAGTCGCCGCTAGAACTTGGACTCGTCCAAACCACAAATATCTGAATTAACTCAACGAAACTGAAACTTTATATTAATTATTTGGCTGCACTTTAAGTTTGTTTACGTCCTACATTAACTCACATACTGCAGTTTGGTTAAGGTTAGGTTTGGAACAGATAACTAATGTACACGTTGCTCGAAATCGAGCAATTGCAAAGAAGTAGTTATTTAACCCTCCGAGTGTCACGCGTCATAAAAATGACGCACAACACACTTTGTGTAGGGTCACGCGTCACTTTTATGACGCACAAACATCGTTTACGGCGAAGGCTCTATGACTGACTGAATCGGATTGAACTGGATCGAGTTAGGTATCGTTCTTTCCGTAATATTCTAAGCTTTCTCCAGAGGTCTGTCTCTAAGCGCTATTCATTTTAGTTCCGAAAATATTGTAGCAGACAGCTGACGTGCGTGTATTTGTAAACAGCTAGGTTCCCCCGGACCGATGACTGATGTGTTTTATTACGTTTATCATTGTTTTAGTGTTAAAAATCAAAAGTAGTGATATACGTGGTGCATTATAAGAAGATTTAAGTGGTTTTGAAGTGCTGGTTGATGATCCTGAAGAAGTAGGTAGTGATATTGATGTAAATTATCAGCCAGATTCCTAGCTATGGTTAGGCTATGCATTCTTAGCTAAACGCTATGTACTGAAATCCGTTTTTCGCTCATAACTTATTTATTTGATAACTTACCTCGCTATATGATTATATATTTGTAATCCTCATTAAATTTAGAACAAAGTGGCTATTTTCAAATATTTATAGGCCTATAATTTATACAATTTCATTGAGCGCGAACTTATTTTTTTTTTGAAAATTTTCGAAATTATATTTTTTTTTACCTAAAAATTTTTTTTTTGAAAAAATGTTCCTTATGTTTTATATATAATATTGAAGCCCATGATTTTCCAAACAAAATGGTATATAGAACATTAGAATTAACATTGTTTTAAGCTTCTCAGATCCGTTTTAATAAAACCTTGCAAAGGGGCCAAAAATAGGTGGACATTAAGGCCTAAACTATGGACACTCGGAGGGTTAAAAATAAATAAAAGTCATCATAATTTCCGATGAGTTTAAACAACTCAACTCATAGAGTATACATACCTAACAGTTCCATATAATCGAAATTTCTTGTAAATATTTTTTCATTTTTCAATAGCTGATCTGGGTTTTTAAATGTTTACCACTGATAGCCGTATTAGGTTGCCCACGTTGATCTTCGTCAATGATAATGTAGTCTGCATGGTACCACCCATTGTCTCCAGTACGTTTACAAATTTCAGTCAATTTTTTTTTTAGCGATAACATATTGTTTACATGACTAAGAACTAGGCTACCTGATTTTCTGCATAACCTCTATGTCGCAATTTTATTTGCATCAATTGGCATTCATTTGGCTAGTTACTGTTATATCGTAAATTATATTTAGGCCTACCTACCTGAAAAAATTGCAGAATTGAAAGGCCTAATGTCATACTCGTACAGATGGCTTTTTGTTTCCCTTAAATGTGAATAATAATGTGAATAATGTGAATCCTTCAATGAAAGTTGTATTAAGGTTTCTTGGATGTAGTCACATTCTTTTAAAATCATTTGACTTTTATGGAAACATATATTTAATGATTAGCCTAATGTCCTTGCCGTACCAGTTTAATTCAGACTTAGAGGGGTTTCCTTTGCCAATCATCATAAAGTTTTAAGTCCATGTTTCCCTACAAAATAGTGGCACTTCGGCTAACATCCTTGTTCATTGTTTGTGGGAATCATCATATTGTAGCTGTAGGTGTTCTTCATTATAGGCCTATTTTTATTTAATTAAAGATTTTTACTGTTATTAACCTTTATGTTTAGAACTTGTTATTTATTCTTAAAAAAAACTACCAGTCATGGTCCTGAATATAGAAGTACATCCCTACAATACTCGTGGTAGACATCAAATAAGTTACCAGCACCTCCGTTTAAGCAAATCTTTAAATAGCCATGTTGTTATGTGTAAGAAAGCTTATAATAAGGTAATTATTATTGTAAATAAGTATCCACAAAAAATATTTTTAAAAAAATTCAGTGACTGACTCTTAAGAAATCCTTTTTACAGTATTGAAGAGTTCCTGGAACAACCTGTGATACGTCTGTAACTTTGTATCCAAATCTGTTAATTATTTCTATATAGTCTATTTTTGTTTTCTTCAACTTTGTTAATTATTCATAACTTGTTAAATTGTTTATAGTCTATTGTGATTGTTAACCCTGTAGTTAAAAGGAAGTTGTACAACATAGACTCATACCCAAGTTACCTCTGATTATTTAGACAACAATGAACATTGAAATTTTATGTTCTGCTCCACTGACATTGTTTATAGTCTATTGTGATTGTTAACCCTGTAGTTAAAAGGAAGTTGTACAACATAGACTCATACCCAAGTTACCTCTGATTATTTAGACAACAATGAACATTGAAATTTTATGTTCTGCTCCACTGACAATGTCAATGCATGTAAATGTCCATGATAATAAATGATTTGATTTGATTTATATAGGTTGATAACGATAGTAGGCCTAATTTTTTTAAAATCCCTATTTCTTCTACTTGGTGGTGTTCGTTCTATGACTTTGCTATATTTCCATGGTTAACAAATCGGTTTTTTCAATGATTTCTCAAGAAATACAGTACTATGTCAATTCATTTTTCTTATTTGGTAAAATATATCAAATTGTCCAGGCTTTCTCGATTTTTTACATTGTAATATGTAGGCCTACGAATGTAAATTAAAATGGTAAATATTTAATTTCAACAAAATCAGTAAATGTACCCAATGCGTTTCATTGAATTGAAAAATAAATAACAACAATTAAACTATACAGCTGATCAAAATGTAAACAATAACATCTATATCTATAAAAGAGGAACTATGTATAAATATATATATGTATACATACGTTATGGACTCCGAAACCGCTCGACAGATTGTAATGAAACTTTCAGGCATTATTAAGCATCTTTCAAGGATGGTTCGAGTGAAGTTTGGTGCAGATCTGTCAAAAGGGCTCTGCCCCAGAGGGTTTTAAGTGGGCCAATGTCAGACTTTTTGATCTACAATGTTTACAAATAAATATAATTTAAAAGCAGATGTTTACTTTCACCAACTGTGTTGTAGGTTTGAATAATTACAACATTCTGTATTAGCATTAGTCATGATTTGAAATAGTGCCACAGTGTTTCTACAGAGTGCAGCACAGAAAACTATTTTACTTTTGAATAAGTCCAAATGTATTAAACCCCAATCGCAGCACACCTGTGCACTTAACAACGTTTAAATACTCCAATGTTAAATATTAAAACATAAAAACCTTTATCAAAGTATTATAAACAATAAAAGGGATGACTTTTTAAAATTTATGACAACAGTTTATTTGCAACCAAAAGGTGAGTGAGCGTAGCGAACGAACATCAACCTGGAGGCGAGTTAGCGTAGCGAACGAGCTAACCTGAAAACAAGTGAGCGCAGCGAACGAGCTCCAACCTAAAAGTGAGTGAGCGTAGCGAACAAACTTCAACCGGGACGTGATTGAGCCATGCGAATACTTATGAAGTTTAACGGGGCAAAGCCTGTGGGTACAGCTAGTTCTTCATAAGGATAACAATGGAACTTTAACAGCCACTGGGGCAGAGCCCAAGGGACTTTAAAAAAAATGTAAGGTCAGTTTGCAAATCTACGCGACAGGCTCTTTCCAATGAGACGTCAATGGCCTGTTAATACTGCTCAATGAAATGGCGACCATACATAGTAGGTAGGCCTACCGGTATTTTAAGCCAAGTATGAATGAAGATGAGTGTAGGATGAGTGGCGCGATCTTGTAGTCTTGTTAGTGACTAAATGGATAAAATCGGTTAAGAAATGGCAGAGGAGTTCAACCGACAAAGTTTCATGTAGGTAGCGTATTTAATTATATAGATTAGCTGGTAGTTAATGTAACTTATAATGTATAATAGTAAATGTAGGACGTAAACTAAAGTCCAACTAAATTATTTAATTGTATGGCCACTTACAAATCTCACTGACTTTTAGATCCAGCATGAGAAAAACTGTAATTAGACATCTAAAAATTACATCCTATTCCAATGTAGACATACTGAATAATTAACAACAAGATATAGTAATTTACCTTACGTGAGATGACCAAACCAACTAAGCTGGGCCCCTTGCCAAGCCCTAAAGTAACCAAACATAACCTATAACCTCAATTGAGCCCTTTTCTGGCTTCAAATTGAATTTAACGACCTAACAAATACTGTTGAACAATATAAGTAGCTTAATAGACCAGTAGAATCACAGACATGTAGAAACTCGTGTAAAAACGCTAAACATGATTCAGCAGCTTTAGATCAGTTTCCTTCCTTTGTGATCAATACAAGTAACCCACAAGACTATTTAAGTCTACTAAACCACACTGTAAATCAATCCGTGATAGTTAAGATTAAATTAAACTAATCGAAATGCAAACTTAAGTATTCTTATTACATCATGTATACTCGGAATATAATTTGTTTATTGAAAATCAGTTATATTCTAATAGACGAGGAAAGCAAAGATGACACTGAAGAAGAGGCCATAAGTTAGCAGCAAGCGTAATACACAAAAATACAAATTCACTCTAGATTTTCGAATTTAAAATAAAACTAGAAACTATTTTTATAATTTAACTTACATTAAAAATAGTTTTGAGGCCGAATCTGATGCACAAAATTATTCAGTGACGTCTGACAACCGTCAATAAGAATTATTTGCCTTTCCAAATTCCAACCTTTAACCTTATTTTTCGTTTCGACAAACCGGAAGAGTGCGCTGTTGGCAATAGTGACGTTTATCCGGAGGCAGCAACGGTAACGAGCTCTACCCGGCTCTACCACGGCCTGACGCCCCTGATGGGTGACGGCCTCCTTAGCTCTTGGAGAATATAAAGCGGTAGGAACTAGGAATCTGAAAGAAGTTATAGAAATAATTATACAGTAAAAGTAAAACCTTGATAACCAGACTCTCATGGAGATTATAAAGTAAGACTTGTTATCAAGCTTCTCTTCTTACCGAGGTTTGCAATAACATGTGATTAGGGGTAAAAGTAAAATAAATGCTAGGGGGTTGTAAAATAACACTTGATAAAGGTGACTTCTTATCGAGGATCTTGGGTTAGGGTTCACTTACACTACAAATCATAGACACTATGAGCCTCCAAATATGTAATTCAAATATGTGACACATGGCTCACTTACTCTACGGATCATAGTCTATACGAGCCTCGTAAATAATATTAAGGTTCACTTGCACTACAGGCTCTCGAAAATATCAAATATAAATGAAGAGGATTCACTTACTATACAGATCATAGTGCATATGAGCCAAGCGTATGAATTATTTTTTCAATTCAGGAATAAGTTCGTTTAGTATATGAGCCAAAATACTGAATTTATATATTTTACAGAATAGGCTCGTATAATATACGAGCCGATTTCTGAATTATAAAATAATTCGTACGCTTGGTTCATTGCTCATTGAGTAAGTGAACCTTCCTACTGTATTTTTTTTAATATAAGACACGAGGCTCATAGGGACTATGATCTGTAGAGTAAGTGAACCCTCTTCATTTGTTTTATATTTTCGATCGGCTTGTATAGTATACGAGCCTGTAGTGCAAGTGAACCTTCTATTATATATACTATATATAATATCTATCTATCTATCTATATATTAATAGGCGAGCATGTTTCTTTAAACCCTTTTTTCTCAGCTCGTGTACATCGCAGGGAAAATCTGCGCATACCGTTAGAAAGATATTTTCCTGTAGAAGTGCAGAATCCCTTTAAAAATTCAAATAGGCTCAAATATAAGCACAAAAAATGAGTTTGAAATTTAAAAAAAATTAACATGGGCTTTAAAGGTTGCCATGCTGGTAACGAAATATAAACAGAAAATCAAAACAAATGGAAGAAATTCCAAACACATGTTTTATTTAAAGCGTGGGGTGAAAACAGAGAAGTCTGTACATTCGATATTTATGGTCGAGTTTTCGACCACTGGACGACCTCTATAGTTCGGCCGCTTAGAAAACGACCTGCGCGCTAATGCTAAACCAATGCTAGAGGAGGTCGCTTTCTAAGCGGCCGAACTATAGTACTTATTTAATACGCAAGCAGATCTTTTGTGACAATTACTCCTCCGAAACTACTGAACCGATTGTCATGTTTTTGGTGTCATTGGAAAGAGCGTAGCGTGAAGTTGTGCAGGAAACTTTCTTTTTAGGGAAATAATGAGAGTGAGGCCCTGGAGCCCTTTAAAGTGTCTTATTTCTCAATAAGATTAACATGGGAAAGAAAAATTGTTATGAAACTCCAGCTGTTGTCAGAAATCAAAAGTGAGAAGAAGAGGTATTTACTCAGGGGAGGTATAGAAGAGGATACGATGACAGCTGTGGGCTTCTTTTTAGCTGAGGGAACGTCTTTACCGTAACAAAACGGTCGGAAGCCATCGTCCTAGGTGGTCTAATGGATAGCGTGCCGGACTGATATACTGTAGGTCCCGGGTTCGAATCCCGCTGGTTTCATTAAACTTTTTGTCCAAGATTTTTTTATTATCAGCAAGTTTGGTTGGTTTGGTTCGGTTATTATAATTTCATTTTATTATTTAGTCATTAAAAAATTTTATTTGAGCAATTTCTAGTTTTATTTAATAAACAGAATTATTTTTCCGATTACAGTACTACACTTTTGTTATATTTTCTTTATCAGCAAGTTTGGTTAGTTCGGTTAGGTTATGATAGTTTAATTTTATAATTAAAAAATAATAAAATTGAATTTGAGGCATTTATAATTTTCTTTTATGAACAGAACTATTTTTGCGATTAGTTAACCTTCATTGCCAAAGTGCTCTTTACTACAGCGCTGTTCACGGAGGAATTTTGAACTAAATGCCTCATTCGTACCTCCCCTAAGTCAGACCCAGAAGAAGAGCATAGGTTAATTGTAAACAGTCAATAAGTTTGCTAATAAAACAGTTTGCTACAAATATTTGCTGACTTGGTTGAAGATTGTGGTTAGTCTATGGCATAGACTAACCAACACAAGTAGACTTCTCATCCCATTGTAAATTTTGAAGCACGTTTTTCGTGTCTAGTTCATGTACGTGACACATGGGCGCTAGTGTCGACGAAACTTTGTTTCTATTATTTTAGGGTTAATTTCTTGATTTGTGCTTTACTGTTTGGTTATATAACTAGGGGACAGGTTATTGTTTATGATTAGATCGTATTATTTGGTTAAACGAGGTTTTAAATGGCTGTAATAATGGGAAACAAATTGTAAACAAAACACAACCTCTACAGAAAACAGTACAGAACTAACAATAAAATTGTCTTCAGCTGTTCCATAAGAATGAGAAATCTACTAAGGGAGTATGTTTTATCTATGTCTATGGTAATACCATAGTAGACTTCTCATCCCATTGTAAATTTTGAAGCACGTTTTTCGTGTCTAGTTCATGTACGTGACACAAAGGTGCTAGTGTCGATGAAACTTTGTTTCCATTATTTTAGAGTTAATTTCTTGATTTGTGCTTTACTGTTTGGTTAAATCATAGATAAAACATACTCCCTTAGTAGATTTCTCATCCTTATGGAACAGCTGAAGACAATTTTATTGTTAGTTCTGTACGGTTTTCTGTAGAGGTCGTGTTTTGTTTACAATTTGTTTCCCGTTATTACAGCCATTTAAAACCTCGTTTAACCAAATAATACGATCTAATCATAAACAATAACCTGTCCCCTAGTTATACAGGGTGTTCATTTGAAAACTTTCCATATCTGTTGTGTGCAAAGGTAAGGCTTTTAACACTTGCTTGTTCTCATTTCCCCCTAATTTGGACATGCCAAATCCAATAAAATTATTTTCAATTTTGAAAAATGCCCCAAAAGGGCCCAATTTGGGGGGTAGGGGTGCTTTTTGAGAAATTTTCAAATGTAAACATGGGTTGTGTGATACATCAATTTAAAGGTCTAATCACCCCGATCATTTTGGTGCAAAAAAAGTTTAATTGTCTTTAACCGTATTTACAGGGTGGGTCAAAACGTTTTAAAAAAGGACTTTGAAGTTAAGTACCGTATTACCCTAACTACTGAACGGAACTGCGCCAAATTTCTTTCCAAGCTTATTCTTGAGCTACTCTTTAAGATAACTTGTAGTAAGGGCATTTTCCAAGTTATTTTCTATTTTTTTAAAAATCTCAAATTTTTAGAATAAAAGAAAGCTGAAAACTCTAAATTCTTAAATAGCAATGTATAACAAATTTCATACCACAAGAAAGGTCCTTTTTTAACAAACATTTTACGTATTTAAGTTTTCTTTCTATCTCTTACCGTTTAAAAATTGCAGTGGAAAAACATAATTTTCCATGGTAAAATTATAACTAGTTTTCTAATAAAACACATTGCACTTTGTTCAACGATGTAGTAGGATTCATAACAAATTGATCGACTACTTTTACGTGTGTTGGAATTCATCTTGGACCCTTCATCCTGTTCTTTTCTCATTGGTAACTGAGCCAGTTTCAGAAAACTTCCTAACTAAATCATTTACAGCCATATGACTCAAGGTTATACCTGGATATCTATTGTTAAACACTTTGCAGTTATCCTGGAATGACCAATAAGTAAAATAAAGACTATTTTTTTAAGTTTACACCATATTTGATTAGGTACTACAGGAAATGGTACTTTTGAAATTAGTACTACTACCATTGACTAGTCAATGGTAGTACTAATTTCAAAAGTTACATAGTGATACGTAGGATTTTGGACGGATACGTATCACTAGATGTCACTAGGTAGGATATAAATAGAAAACTGTAGTGATATCAATAAAAAAATATATTTATATCAATAAAAACAAATTAGTGATATCAATAAGAGTAGCCTATATAAATGTCGGAAAATAAAACTTGGAGTCTAAATAAAAAATATTTATTCATACAAAAAACTGATAGGTACACTAGGTACAGTATTAAAACCTACAACTAAATAACACACAGTCAAGCATTTTATATTTAAATTTGAATAGACGAGGATTACCTAAAAAAAGTAAACACAACCATTTGAGCAAAAACAATGCAAAGTTTGCTGGTAATAAAGAGTCACCTGTTTCTTCTTCAATTAAATATAAAAAATGAAATTAATGTGTAAGGAAAAATAACCAAAATAGTACAACCTTAACAGCACATGAATGGAAAAAGTAATGTGAACAAAAAAGTAAATTATCGCTATTTTAACCCGTAGGCTATTATTAATGTGCCTACTGAGTGAACTGGACTGTTTTGAGGTTCTGTGCATGTTTTTACTGTGCATCAGTCGCGGCACGATTATCGCTCAGACTGGTACCCAGGGCAGTGGTCCGCGTCTGTAGCTAGCGGCTCTTGCAATAGTCGCTCCAAGCAAAATAGGACAACGCAAACTCCGTCAGAGCAGTGCCCAGCTAGTATTGCAGAGCGATTATCGCCACATGACTATCGCTGCAATCGCTCCAAGCAAAATAGGCCTTTAAAAAACTTATTAAAATCAAAATTAAGAAAAATGCAAACGAACTTAAACCTAAATAAATAAGTAAGTTACTTATTTAGGTTTAAGTTTGTTTGCATTTTTCTGAATTTTAATCCTTTAGCATATAGCAAAATAGGCTAGTACAATATAATTTACAATACATATAAAAATAAATTTGGTTTAAATGTTTTTCGTGGACCCAACAAAAAAATGCTTGCGGACCTCACTTCACTTTAAGAGAAACTCTGGCCTAAGTTAAACTTAATATTTTACATCGAATGAAATATTTTGATCTGAGTCAAACATTTAAAGTTATAACTTTACTTAAGTATTTTATGGAAAAATAACGTACTCCTAACTTAACTTAATATTTTATTAAGTTACCTAAGTTAAATTATCGAATAAAAGTTGCATTTGATGATATAAAATAGGCCTTTTGTAGGTTTATTGCAGAACTGTACCTGGGTGTTTGAACATAAATATTTTATTACTACAATAACTTAGGTCTAGGCTTAAGTTTAGACACAGGTTATGTAATAAAGATCTTCTAAATAAAGTTATACACATCGGCCTACAGCTGGATTATTTTTAACCAGAAGCGGTTAAGATATGCACTGTAGGGGTGGCGCAATTTTTATTTCACCTGCGGAATTTTAATACGGGCAAAATGAGAGTAAAAAAATTATAATTTGTGTAATATAAAAATTAAACTGTCGTAACCTAACCTATCTAACCAAACTTGCTGATAATGGAAAAATCAAATAAAGGTTTACTAATCGCTACTGACTAATTTACTACCTTTAGTCCATCAGTGACGTTGAATATTAGGATCGGTCTATTTTGATCGCCCTACCGGCGAAAGTACAACCGATCAGTAGTGAACTTGTCAAACAGTTGATTTATTAAAATATTAAGGATGATATGAAAGTAAAATCTTGAAACTTCAGAAATTAAACCTAACCCCAGGTTTGAAATGGGAAGACAAACTTTAGGTCTTAGGGGTTAAATGTAGGCTACTATTCTGTAGGCCTATTAAGTTCATTTTAAGTATTTTTTTTTTTTAGCTGCTGCACAGAAAATGTTCGGCACAAGTGAAGCCACGGAAGCCAAAGTTACAAGTGTTGTTGCTAAGTGGCTTCAACAAGCCAAAACCAGATGTGAAAGAAGGTAAGGATAAAAAAACTAACTATTCAACTAATCATTAGAATTCCATTGGTAGCCTAATAATACTGTACCGGTACAGTGGACTCTATTATACAGAGGAGGAGACAGTTGAAACTGACGTGCCTCATACTTGTTACATGATAAAAGTGTAATGCAAAACATATAAGCCAATAATGTTAATTCTGTAAAAATAGCCAGACTATAGACACTTTGGGATAATTACTGTAAACAAAACACAGATGCCAAGACTTTATACCTTTTAAATCTTTTGATCTTTAGACATGTGATGAATGGTCTCAAATCAATCCTACAACCCATTTTTACCCCATAAAACCCCCCGTAAAACCCCGTTCCCATGGTCCAATCATGCTGGTTCACGAACTTATTCAAGTTTATCCCGCCTTACACCTTCAAACCAAATTTCATCAAAATCTGACAAAAATTAACTTACTCAAGTTATCGTGTTCACGGTCATATATATATATAAATCTATATACACATTATATAAAAATGTGAACGAATAGTGTTTTTGGGCTCTGGGGACATCAAAATGAAAAAGTAAATTTGTCCTGGGCCTAGGTCTTACCATGCCACCTACGGTAATAGCTACTTGCCTATAGGGAAATTCGCCAAAAGAAAAATGCTAGTATTTTTATTCTTGTAGAGGGGTTTTCATGTTTCATAGCAATGCTGGGCTTACCTGGGTTAATTTATATAGTAAATGAAAGCTTATATATATTTGTAAAGTATGAGCAAGATTTGTAACAAATGTCTTGGCTATATTTAGGATAACCAACCAAGAACTGTCACTAGTTTTATACTTAAACGATAAAATATAAAATCCCGCAGATTCACTGAAGTAATGTATAAACAATCCTGGGCTTGTGTCTAGCATTTTTTGACAATAAAAATGTAATTGTGTTTTATACATATTAATAATTAATATTAATATTATTGGGAAGATCATAATATTGTATTTGTATATCATTGTAGGAATAAATTAATTTTCATCAAACAGGCCTACACTGGTTGTGAGTTAAACTGTGTTAGTTCAAAATGTTGCTTACTTGCCTATTTTTTATACCAGATACAAAATTAATCATTTTGGTTAATTATCCTTAAATTTAATATTGATTCTATTTGTTTTGACTTTTTTCAGAGGGAAAAAACCTGCCTTTGTGGACAGTGGGGAGGAAGTTCCACTCAATGGGGATGAAGATCTTGTTGAATAGATAACTTACTATATGTATTATTAAAGTAATCGTAAAATGAGGAATTTTTGAGGGAATTGTTTGTTGAAAGTTAAAGATACGAGGCATTTTCAAATGTAAATGAGTTATGTAAATCTTCAATATAAATCTATTTAGACAAATTACCTCTTGTGTTTTATTTTTAATTTCAAAGAATTCTGAATTCTACGTACTGAATAGTAATAATATGTAAAATTGTAGGGTTGAAAACTAAAATAACTCATGTTTTCCTGCTCTTTTATAAAAATAAGTTTTTAGATGGTATCTCGCTTTTTTATTTGGAGAAGTGTCTTGGCATTTAACAACTAGAGGCATTGAAGTTTAGATTATGTTGTGATTGTGAAAAATTATCTGAAATATTGGAAGATTATATTGTGCTATGCATCTCAACCTAAAAAATATGAAATTTTTATTACATGTGTCAAGACTGTGTGAATCCTGGTAAAAGCATATGAATTAATTAAATTTTCAGAAATAAAAAGAGCTTGTAAGTGGCTAAAAAAGAATTATTTCTTGTACTCTTCAATTTATATTCAAATTAGATGTTTCAATTTTTCAATCGACATGGTTTAGCCCCTGAGCTGAATTGGTGACTAATATAATATAAATACCTCGTCACAGCTCTGTAGTTTCTGTAGATTACAGCTATTTTGGAATCAAAATGCCATCCTTAGATATACATACATCCACCTGAATTGGCGTCGTTAAACTGTACACATTCACGAACACGATAAAAACACGTAAAACAAGAGACAGGCCTGTCGCGTACATGATTGCTACGAGTACGGAAGCTGACCGTACTCGTAGCAATCATGTACGCGACAGGCCTGTCTCTTGTTTTACGTGTTTTTGTGTTTTTATCGTGTTCGTGTATGTGTACAGTTTAACGACGCCAATTCAGGTGGATGTATGTATATCTGAGGATGGCATTTTGATGCCGAAACAGCTGTAATCTACAGAAACTACAGAGCTGTGACGAGGTATTTATATTATATTAGTTTCAATTTTTATTCAAGTTAGAAATTTCAAGTTTTATTCAAATTGGATATTTCAAGTTTTATTCAAACTGGAAGAGCGGGAACTTCGACGCATGATTTTAACTTGAATCAAGTTTACAAACCCGATCCTTCAAGTTTGCAGATTTGAAAAACCAAACTTATTTCAAGCTTGAATCAAGTAATTTTTCAATTTATATTTAGATTAGATAGTTCAAGTGTTATTCAAATAAGATGTTTCAATTTTTATTCAAATTAGAAATTTCAAGTTTTATTCAAATTAGATGTTTCAAGTTTTATTCAAACTGGAAGAGCGGGAACTTCGACGCATGATATTAACTTGAATCAAGTTTACGGACCCATCCGAGCAAACTTTATTCAAGTTTGCAGATTTGACAAATCAAACTTGTTTCAAGCTTTAATCAAGTATTTTTTGCTATCTGGGAACAGTTTACTTTTTCTCCATAAGAATAACATGGGGATTTTACAATTACAGTTTTTTTTTTATTTTCTCCGTAACCATTAGGCGCACAATAACGCTTCAATATACTAAATTATTGGTTTTTTATGCTCTACAAAATGGTGTTAAAAGAAATTGTAAAATTTTGTGTTTTTAGGGTCAAAAATGGCAAAAACCTATTTTTACCCCATAAAACCCCCCATAAACCCCTGTTCCCATAGTCCGATCATGCTGGTTCGCGAACTCGTTCGAATAAATGTAGGTTTACACGTTTATACCAAATTTCATCAAAATCGGATGATTTTTGCTCGAGTTATCGTGCTAACGGACACATATATATATATATAAATATATATATATATAAATATATATATATATATAAATATATATATATACATATATATGAATTTGAACAGATGGTGTTTTTGGCCTCTAGGGACCTCAAAACGAAAAAATAAATCGGTCCCGGGTCCAGGTCTTACCATGAGTACTACGGTAATAGCTTATTCCCTATATGGGAAATTCGCTAATACACAAAATACGCATTAGCAGCCTCGAAAAAAACAACAGCTGTTTCGGCTCAGCACAGCACTCAGCAGAAGGCAGAAGCAGAAGTGTCGAAGTGGATATACTGTCTGTATTGTGTCCCGAGTGTAAACAATACATTTTTAGGTGTTTTTTATTAATGTTTAAAGCAGTCAAATGAAAACCAAATTAAACATTTTTTTAGTTTCTGGTTTCGGCTTCTGAATTCCACAAAAAATTATGACTATTAGAATAGATGTTTGTGTATTTGTTTAACATCGTGTTAATAGATGATCATCTAGGCTCTATACTTTCTCTTTTTCATTGCGATTGCAGTAAGGTTAGTTGGAGTACAACTAAGACATAACTTAATAATATTATAATCATATTTAATTATTATTATCATTATATCCTTTGCCTATAAACCACATGATACTCAGATAGACTATACACATTATTAGACCTATTTTTACAAATTCGATTAGGCCTAGCTTATTATTCAGTTTTAATAATAACCACATGGGACTGACTATTTTGTTGACCAGGGTCAGCAAATTCAATACATGTAGCAAAATAACCACTTAGAATGTAGATATTTCCATGAAACTTGGAACGAAGGTATATCCACATGTATTCGTAAATTACAAGGAAAAATGTGGTTCGGATTCCACTATAAACTGTAGGTCCCTTAGTTGCCATTAGCTGTATGGGCTATTAATTAACAGCTGTGTCTAAGGAACATGTCGGCCTTAGTCACTAACAAGACTACAAGATCGCGCCACTCATCCTACACTCATCCTTCACTCATATATTATTATAAAATACGCACATAGTGGCGTCCCCATCTTAACTAATTGATAATTGATAATTGATATTCTACACGTATGTAAAATTTCGTAACGAAAAAAATATTTGCCTATATTATTAACAAAAAACTGCCGTAAATAGCTAATTTTATTTTGTTGACCCGGGTCAATCGCCAAAAAAAGGTACCTAGAAGTAAACTATATACATAAAACTTGGAACCAAGGTTTATCCACTTGTATTCTATATGCATGTAAAGTTTGGTAACGATTGAAAAATATTTACCTATTTTACTATATAAAAAACCGCCATAAACAGCCTAGCTTATTTTATATTTTGTTGACCCGGGTCAACAAATGCAATACATTTAGCAAAATAACCACTTAACTTAGAATGTAGATATTTTCTTGAAACGGGGAATGAAGGTATGTCAACATGTATTCTACACGTATGTAAAATTTGGTAACGATTTAAAAATATTTATCTATTTTGCTATTTAACTAATATTGTTGACCCGGGTCAACAAAATAGGGAGTCCCTAACCACAATTAAGTAAATAAGGCCTACAACATTACCAAATTAGGCCTATATGTTATTGTAACTAGGGGTTCAGTTCCTCAGAGACTGATAACTAATTAATATTATCAGATGAAATATTAGTTTGATAATTGGTATATCCTTTTAGAGGCTAAAATAGTTACTTGTGTGAACCTGGCAATAACTCGGCAATAAGTAGTGCACGCGCCATAAAAAATCTATTGCTGGCCGTTTTGGAGCAAAATATGTCCGCGATCCATATTACCAATAATGCCAACAGATAGAGGACACTTTAACGGACACGACAGTATCAACATTATGTACCTGGGGAGTAGAATAAGGGGGTAAAATCAGCAATAAGTTGTGCGCGCGCCATAAAAAATTTATTGCTGGCCGTTTTGCGGCAAAATACGTCCGTGATCCATATTACCAATAATGCCAACAGATAGAGGACACTTTAACGGACACGACTGTTACTGGCAATAGATTTTAGCGGGCGCGCGCACAACTTATTGCTGATTTTACCCCCCTTATTCTACTCCTCGGGTACATAAAGTTGATACTGTCGTGTCCGTTAAAGTGTCCTCTATCTGTTGGCATTATTGGTAATATGGATCACGGACTTATTTTGCCGCAAAACGGCCAGCAATAGATTTTTTCGGGCGCGCGCACAACTTATTGCTGATTTTACCCCCCTTATTCTACTCCCCAGTACATAATGTTGATACTGTCGTGTCCGTTAAAGTGTCCTCTATCTGTTGGCATCATCGGTAATATGGATCGCGGATGTATTTTCCGCAAAACGGCCGGCAATAGATTTTAGCGGGTGAGCGCACTACTTATGGCTGGAGTTATTGCCAGGTTCACGCCAATAAAATAGTTTTCAGCCAATCTTAACTTAAATAACTTATATTGATTGTACGTTATTCATAAGGTAACATTTTATTTATACAGTAGACTTTCTCTTATCAGTCTTATCCAGACTCCTCGGGACCGAGGCCATTCCGGATAACGGGTTTTCCAGTGAAACCGACGTCACCAAAAACTCGTTAAATAGGTCTGTTTAAATGCATACTGTATAAGCAAATATTGATTATTATGTATTTAGACACATGATCACTGGCCTCAAATCTTTCCTACGAAAACAGACGTTTCAGTACGGCCCACTTCCTGCCAATCTAGTCCGGTTAAACTGATGTGCTGATAAAAATTGTACGGTTAAAGATGTGTCATTTCCGCCGGGTGTAGTCCGGTTAAACCGTTGCCCAGTTAAAAGGTGTCCGGATAAGAGAGAGTCTACTGTAAAAGCAAAAGTTGATATTTGGTGTTGTTGTTAGTTGTTATAGATAAATTTACAAAGAAGTCAGTTTAATCAATAAATCAAAATAAATCAATATTGGCTATTAATTATTAACAGCTTTGTCTAAGGAATATGTCGGCCTTAATCTCTAAGTAATAGGCCTACGGTATTCTTTGAAATACTCTACAAATGGCTCCTAGAAAACCCAATGTACCAGATTGATGAGTTTTTTTAAAATCTGAAATAGTTATTTAAGTAACTTATTTATGCTGTCATCCTACATAGCTTAAATAGAAATTTGTATTTAGCTTTAAAGCCTTACCCTTGTTTCTCTGATTGGATTTAAATTTTGTAGACTAATTTGACGAGACCTATTGTAAACAATGTATTTTTATTTTTATTTATTTAGCCTACATATTCTAGTTTATAATTTATACCTAGTAGTTTGGTAAGCTATTGATTCTACTAAAAACACTTTATAGGCTAACCCTCCCTGACCTGATTTTCTGTGTATATAAATTAAAAAAGCCCAAATTTAGCCCAAATTTTATCAAATACAGAGACTATCGAAATCTCAACCTCACTGCTCTGCTTTTAGACGCTTCTACCCTACCGTGGGATGTGGTTACTAATGATCCTGATGTCAATTCAATGGTTGAACATTTTACTTCCCTCATTTCTAATCTTCATAATAAACACTGTCCAATTGTATCTAAAAGAGTTTGGAAGCCACCTGCTCCCTGGATAAATGATTTTATTAGACAACTTAAAAAAAAAAGAGATGCTGCATTTCGTAAAGCCAAGCGCACCAAGCTACCTAATGACTGGGCCTGTTACAAAAGGCTCAAGAATCAAACCCAACAACAGATCAGAAACTCAAAAGCTAGGTATTATTATACATCTTTCTCCCAGAAACAATCCTCCAAAACTTTGTGGACCAAAGTTAAGAACCTTGGTATCGGCAAATCTGACAATTTACATCAAATAACTATTAGTCTCGACACGATTAACAACTTTTTTGTGAATATCCCTATAAGTTCTGTAGGTGCATTTAACTATGTTGCCGATATCACATCTAGACCACTTGATATGCCAGAAACCCAGTTTTTCTTTTCCCCAGTTAGTGAATCTGAAGTCCGCAGGAAAATTCTGAGGATGACAAGTAACACAGTCGGCGCCGATGATATTCCTATCAGGTTTATTAGAGACACTCTTCCAGTTACTCTCCCGGTACTAACTTCCATATTTAACAGATCATTAGCAACTTCTACCTTCCCCTCCATCTGGAAATCTGTCATTGTTCGCCCACTTCAGAAAATTTCTTCTCCCAATACCCCTTCTGACTATAGACCAATCAGCATTCTTCCTGCCCTTTCTAAATGCCTTGAAAGAATAGTGCATAATAAATTCTCTGTTTTTTTTTAAGAGAACAAAATTATATCGGATTTTCAATCTGGGTTTCGCGCTAAATATAGCACAACCACTGCTTTGTTGAAAATTACAGATGACATCCGCCGTGCAATGGATAATAGACATGCCACAATTTTAAACCTCTTTGACTTTTCAAAGGCGTTTGACTGCGTATACCATCCTCTTTTGCTCCTTAAACTGCGCTTGGCTGGTTTCTCTGACAACTGTGTTGACTGGATTGAGTCCTATTTATCTGATCGTCAGCAGTGTGTCAAAGTCGGTGACAAGTGTTCCACCTGGGAACAGATTACTAGAGGTGTTCCTCAAGGATCTGTTCTTGGCCCACTACTGTTCTCAATTTACATCAATGACATCACAGAACATATCACTAACTCACGCTACCATTTGTATGCTGATGACCTACAGATTTACTCCCACTTCAATGTAGACGAGATGGATATTGCTGTACGACTCATGAACATTGACATTGAATCGATAACTCACTGGGCTATAAACAACAAACTTAAACTCAATATTGACAAAACACAAGCGATGATTGTTGGCTACCCCAGACTAATGACTAAAATCAACTTACTCACTGCACAACGACTTAACTTTGACGGAAAGGATCTCACCTACTGCGACAAAGTGAAAAACTTAGGACTCATCATGAACAAACATTTGAATTGGTCTGACCAAGCCAACTCCACTTGTAACAGGGTCTTTGGAGCTATTCACACCATCAAACGTTTTGCAGACTACCTTCCACTGAACTTGAAAATCATGTTAGCAAAAACTCTCATCCTGACTCATTTCAACTACTGTGATGTGGTGATCAATGACATGACTAATGAAGTTTCTAGTAGACTTCAGCGAGCTCAGAATTCCTGTATCAGATTCATGTTTGGCCTAAGGCGATATGACCATGTAACTCCCTATTTTAACCTGCTTTCATTGATAAAGTTAAATGAACTTCGGGAATTTCACACCCTCCGTCTTCTACACTCCATTATCAATAGTAAAATTCCCAATTATTTATCAGACAACTTCCATTTTATTTCTAACATCAGCACCCGTGCTACTCGTAGAGGCTCTCACCTTTTATCTACACCAATTCACCGGTCAACCGTTTTTAACAAATCCTTCTTGGTATCTGCAATTTGATTGTGGAATTCTCTTCCTGACCATATCAAATCCATAGGTAACTGTGCGAGGTTTGGGGCAGAGATTAAATCTATTATATTGAGCAGCAGGCTTGAGTGAGTCTCTGGCGCTGGTGTGAGGGGTTG